TTAGCTTCATCCAAAATATAATAGCTGTTTGATCGTCACATTCATTCAAGATCTCCATGAAAAAATTTCTTGCATGAAATCTTTAAAAGACTTTTCACGTGTATCTTTAAATAAACATACACACACAGTCCTGTGCAGCTGTGTGAATCTAAAGGTGGCTATGGTTTTACCACAAGTAGGTAAAAGAAAACAGGTTGCTGTTTTGAGCAAGGCTTTCAGGACTGCAGCTAAAGCAAAAAGTAATCCTAATAATAGTTCCTGTAGGTAAAAGAAAACAGGTTGCTGTTTTGAGCAAGGCTTTCAGGACTGCAGCTAAAGCAAAAAGTAATCCTAATAATAGTTCCTATGCTTTTACTCAAATTCAGTGTGGAGAACATTTTTATATTCTGGTGTGTATATTTTTACTCCTGTTAAATATAGCCATCCTGTCATCTGCTGCCCATTTGTTGTTTTTATTTATGATAAATTAGGTGGCTGGACATGGAAAAGTGGTTCGAATACCTCTTTTTATACATTTTGCCATCTATTCATTAAATAGTCTATAAATAGTCTATTCATTAATGTCTATATTCTAGCACAAAATTTAAATTAAGCCTAAAGTTATTTCAGATGTAGATGGATAAACTTTGCACAAATTTTTAAACAAGTTAGCAAAAGAAAATCTGCATGCATGAGGTAAGTATATTATAGCAGATATATATTATATATTACATGTTACATAACATCTGTAACAATCTTAAGAAACATATTTTTTCTGTCTCTTTTACTTTCAGACATTCATTAAACAGGTGTGTCATTCTCTTTAGAAATGAAAAATCTGTAGTTATTTAGCTTTATGAAATTAACAATTTTAATGTTTACATTTCAAAAAAATATCTAGCAGTATTAGATTTGCACATACTCATTTTTTCAGTATTTCATGGTATTAGATTGTATATAGTGATTTTGGGTTGGGTTGGGTATGAAATGGAACGTGTTCTCTCTGTCTCTCTAGTCTGGCATATTAAAAGGCCGAGCGGAGACATTGTATAATATGGGCATTAAAACAGTTGTTTTATCACACAGCTGATAATAAAACAGTAAGATCAAATAAATGTTGTCACTTGAAGTTTCCAGTGGTGTTCCATTTAAATACAAATTACTCCAAATTAAAAACAAGGTTAATTTGCAAATTAATGCATATTGGTCTATATATTTCAAATGCCAACAGATATTTACTTTTATTTTGTAACATTATATATACAAAACAAACTGACCACAGTATACTTCATTTAAGGACCACTGGTTTCAATGGGATTTTGAAGTGTGCATAACTGTAAATTGGATTGTGACCATTGTTCCTTTTTTGTAGTCATTTACGCATATTGCTTGATCAAGGAGATCAAATATAAAAGAATTCCCCTTCAAGGAACTGCTTTGTAACATGGACAAGCAATTTAGAATGGTGGAAATTAAGCACCTTTTAAAAGATACAATTCACTTTCAGTATCAGTACAGTATCTGGATATGGTTCAACAGTATCTTCCCCTTGCTTCGTTTTCACTGAAAAGACGTGACTCATACAGAATATGTTCATGTTCCATTCTAGAGCATTTTTCCACAGGAGAAAATCTCAGTGGATAGTAGCCTCAGTCATTAGCTTGTTTTTATTATGTGGCATCCTTTTTTTAATTATTGCTGATGTTGCCTTCATTGTTTGATCTGAAAATTCCATTAACTCAATGAAGTCCCGAAAATGACATTGAAGAAGTAATATGCATTGTTCTAGCAACACATCATGCTGTTAGCTACAATGGAATAAACTCAAATTAATTTGTTTGGGTTTTTGCTGGGGGTGGTAGTGGAGTTGTTCTAAATGTTCACTTAACAGCAGCAGCAACAACAAAATAGTATATAACTAACATCTAAATATAGCTAGTCATTTATGCTACCTGTCTGCTAAATACATTTTTGTTGCTTTGCTTGAAGCGTATCTATTACATGAGTTTCAGTTGAATAAAGCAGAGCCATTTGTTGGTTTAACATTTACTGATACTCATTTCAAATTTTGCAAATGTTCATACAGTTTGGTAAGATTTAGTTGTGTATATTTCAGTAGAACGATAACAATGTACAAAGTACTTTAGAATTGTTATATTTATCCTTACAACGGACCTGTGATGTTATAAGGAGAGGGCTGTAGCTGAGTGGTAGGAGCACATGCTTTGCATGTAGTTGGTCCCAGGTTCAATCCATATCTTCAAATAGGGATGGGAGAGACACCTGCTGGAACTGGGCTAGACGGAACAATGGTTTGACATGGTTTAAGGTAGCTTACTATGCTCCTCTGTTAGTTATGCAGAGAGATAGTGACTTGGCAAGGGACTACCTGAGGAGCTTCAGTGCTGAGATTTGAATCTGCACTTACCAGTTAGAAATCCTCCAACATTCTGTACATGATGCTACCCAGGGAAATCTACTATTGTAGGTGTTTCTGATTGTTTAGCACTGCACTGACTCATTTTCTACTGAGCACTACTAATGGAATACCACCTAGAGGTTTCACTACTTGCATTGAAAGGTACTGTGTCTGCGGCAGGTTATGCAGAGGCCCAGAATTCTTGCCTCCATATGTATATGTATGCGTGCTTAATCAAAGCAGCCTGGAGAAGGCTGTTTCTGAATGAAAGGAAGGCACATGGAGAGAATATGTGTAAATTCTGTCCATGAAGCCTTCTTTCACTCAGACACAGCCAAGTCAAAGTTGCTTTGGCTAAATGACAAAATCATGGAATTCTATGTAACGTTTAGTTTAACTCTCGGGCACGGAACCTTCTAAATTGAGACAGTTCACATACTGTATTCAACTGTGGGTCATCCAGTGTATAGTAGAATAATGAGAGACAAAAGTGATGTGCTATAGCATTTCCGATATGTACAGCTTTTATCCAATTATCATTTTGTCCTATCATCATGTTGATAAGAGGCAGTTTCCTCTTAGAAGGATGTACAGGCTTGGTAGGATGATAAAAGATAGAATGGATTAAAAACCTATGTGTTGATATTATGATTCAGGCCATACTACATGTAATGCTGGCTATTAATGACTGGATCTTTCTTTGTATTTGCTGTTAGTTTCATGCTGGCAAGGAGGGATCCAAGTATGACCAAAATAGTGATGGTGAAGGTGGGAGTCTTTTACACTTCTATCCCATGCTGTCTTCTGAATCGAAAGAACCTCTTGAAGTCCATTATTCTAATAGCAGCTAGTGTGTGTGCATATGTGCACACAAATGTGTTAGATTAGATGAAAGGTGTGTTGGAAATAGTCTGAACACACACTCCTCCAAGTGTTTTGGCTGAATTTGGAGACCTACTCCCAAAGTTGCATTAAATTGGGTAAGAGAGATCAGTCTCATGAGAGGAGCATCATTGAAGAAGCCTCAAAGTACTTTAGGCCATGACAGATTGTATTTATTTATTTGACAAAAATCATGTAACATTTGATTGTAAGAAAACCCTTATGTGGTTTACAAAAATATAAAATTATAACATTAAAATTATCAATAAAATGGTTTAAAACTGATATTTAAAAATATTCAAAAGATAATAAAATCAACAGTAGTTAAAAAGAAATAAAACACATGTCTGGGTAGCTTACGTATACAAAAATATTTTAAGCAGGCACTGAAAACAGTACAGGGTAAGGTTCCTTCCTGACATCAGTAGCTGGACAGTTCCAAAGTGTCACCACACTAAAAGATCAAGTACAGTGGTACCTCGCAAGATGAATGCCTCGCAAGACAAAAAACTCGCTAGACGAAAGGGTTTTTTGTTTTTTGAGCTGCTTCGCAAGACGATTTTCCCTATGGGCTTGCTTCGCAAGACGGAAACGTCTTGCAAGTTTGTTTCCTTTTTCTTAACACCGTTAATACAGTTGCGACTTGACTTCGAGGAGCAACTCATAGAACGCGGTGTGGTAGCCTTTTTGAGGTTTTTAAAGACTTTGGTGATTTTTGAAGCTTTTCCAAAACTTTCCCGACACCGTGCTTCGCAAGACGAAAAAAATCGCAAGACGACAAAACTCGCAGAACGAATTAATTTCGTCTTGCGAGGCACCACTGTAATTACAAGTGTGGAATGAGCATTATGTGGCACCTGTAAAGGTGCCAGTTTCACAGATCAAAGCAGTCGAGTAGGCACATAAGGGATCAGGCAATCCTGTAAGTAAACTGCTCCCAAGCCATTAAGGGCTTTACTGTATATGCCAACTTGGCTCCGCAGTTTAGAGCAGATCTCTTGAGCAGAGGTGTTGTATGCTGAAAGCATCTCATTCCTGTCAACAACCATCCTGCAGCATTCTGCACTAACCAAGTCAAGCTCCAGGGAAGCTCCACATAGAGTGGATCACATAGAGTGCATTGCAGTAATCCAATCTTAAAGCCACCAGTGCCTGAGTTACTGTTTTCATGCTCTCCCAGTTCAGAATGGATGTAGCTGTAGCCACAGAGGCTACCTGGGCCTCCAGTGACAAAAGCTGGATCCAGAAGCACCCCAGACTGAATCATAGAATCATAGAGTTGGAAGAGACCATAAGGGCCATCGAGTCCAACCCCCTGCCAAGCAGGAAACACCATCAGAGCACTCCTGACATATGGTTGTCAAGCCTCTGCTTAAAGACCTCCAAAGAAGGAGACTCCACCACACTCCTTGGCAGCAAATTCCACTGTCGAACAGCTCTTACTGTCAGGAAGTTCTTCCTAATGTTTAGGTGGAATCTTCTTTCTTGTAGTTTGGATCCATTGCTCCGTGTTCGCTTCTCTGGAGCAGCAGAAAACAACCTTTCTCCCTCCTCTATGTGACATCCTTTTATATATTTGAACATGGCTATCATATCACCCCTTAACCTCCTCTTCTCCAGGCTAAACATGCCCAGCTCCCTTAGCCGTTCCTCATAAGGCATCGTTTCCAGGCCTTTGACCATTTTGGTTGCCCTCCTCTGGACACGTTCCAGTTTGTCAGTGTCCTTCTTGAACTGTGGTGCCCAGAACTGGACACAGTACTCCAGGTGAGGTCTGACCAGAGCAGAATACAGTGGCACTATTACTTCCCTTGATCTAGATGCTATACTCCTATTGATGCAGGTCAGAATTGCATTGGCTTTTTTAGCTGCCGTGTCACACTGTTGGCTCATGTCAAGTTTGTGGTCAACCAAGACTCCTAGATCCTTTTCACATGTACTGCTCTCAAGCCAGGTGTCACCCGTCTTGTATTTGTGCCTCTCATTTTTTTTGCCCAAGTGCAATACTTTACATTTCTCCCTGTTAAAATTCATCTTGTATGTTTTGGCCCAGTTCTCTAATCTGTCAAGGTCGTTTTGAAGTGTGATCCTGTCCTCTGGGGTGTTAGCCACCCCTCCCAGTTTGGTGTCATCTGCAAATTTGATCAGGATGCCCTTGAGTCCATCATCCAAGTCGTTGATAAAGATGTTGAATAAGACCGGGCCCAAGACAGAACCCTGTGGCACCCCACTAGTCACTCTTCTAACTGCATACCTGCATACCTGCTCCTTCAGGGGAAGAGTGATCCCATCCAAGGAAGGCAGTTGACCAGTTTATCAGACACAGGAACCTACAGTGCCTGCCTTGCCAGGGTTCAAGCTCAGTTTATTTCCCCTCATCCATCTCACCAATGCATCCAGGCACTGGGCCAGAGTTCGCATGGCCTCTCCTAGTTCAGATGTTCTGGAGAACTAGAGCTCACTGTCATCAGTGTACTGGTAAGTGTTGCTGTGCTCACTAGGCCTGAGCTGTTTTGTTTCTTTGACTAAAGAGTTAACTTCATTGACACCTTGTGAGTTACTCCTGACCTGTTCCCGGCTCCTGTCTTGACACTAATGCTATTTAGGCTGATCAAGGGAGGTAATAGTACTAATAGTACTAATCCATTCTGCCTTGGACAGACCCCACCTGGAGTACTGTGTTCTGTTCTAGGCACCACAGTTTAAAAAGGATATTGACAAGCTGGAACATGTGCAGAGGAGGGCAACCAAGATGATCAAAGATCTGGAAACCAAGCCTCATGAGAAACGATTAAGGGAGTTGGGTATGTTTATCCTGAAAAAGAGGAGATATGATAGCCATCTTCAAATATCTCAAGGGCTGTCACGTGGAAGATGGAACCAGCTTGTTTTCTTCTGCTCTGGAGGGTAGATCCCGAACCAATGGTTTCAAGTTACAAGAAGTGAGATTCTGACTAAACATCAAGAATAACTTTCCGGCGGTAAAAGCTGTTTCACAGTGGAATTGACTCCTTCAGAAGGTGGTGCACTCTTCTTCATTGGAGGATTTCAAGCAGAGGTTGGATGGCCATCAGACGTGGATGCTTTATTTAAGATTGCTGCATTGCAGGAGGTTGAACTAGATGACCCTCAGGGTCACGTCCAACTCTATAATTCTTTGATTCTTTGATTCTACAGCTACTGTGAATAAAAGCATGTCAAAATATGTTGCACACCCCCTCAATTTCCAAGTGGTGAGAGATTCCAGGGGTTCCAGGCAGTTTCCCAGGATTCGGTTTCCTTGGAATGGGGGTCTGCGGAGACTGTGGTATCTTTTGGATATATGGTTTATTTACAGATATATACAACCTGAGCCTACGATGGAGGGGCTTATTAACTATTGTTCATAGTTTAGTAATTATTATTGTAATTGTTAAGAGTGAATTTCTGTTTAATTATTGTTTGCTGATATTTAATTTCATTGTGTACCATTATATTCTAATGGATTGTTGAGTGTTACTTTATTTGAAATAAGTTGTTTATTTTAAAGTTATATTTTTATTATGACTTTTTTGTAATGGATAAGATTGTTATAAGGTGTGTGCGATCCTTGTTGTTTCTTCTGTTTGTAAACCACCTTGCATATAGTAATATAGAAAGGCAATATACAAGTTAAAAGTGAAATGAAATTAAAGGAAAGGGAAGGTTCATCCATTTGCCCATAAGGCCTCTTCCCTTAGTTGTAGCTCTTGCAGCCCAGCTCACTCTTTTGGGATGGTGATCATGGTGGCTAACTACTCAGCCAACAGGGATTCAGGGCACCATACAGGCTGACACCGCCCCCAGCCCCCTGCATCAATATTTTCTATTACATTTGTGGTCTGCTTGCTTTCAAAGGATCTCAGATCTGTGGGTTATTCTTGCAACCACCAAGAGTTCAGAATTACAGAATAGGCTAAGAGATAGTAATTTGTCTTCAGCTACTTTATGAGCAGGGATTAAAATGTGTTTTATTTGCTGAAGCCCAACACTAATCAGCAAACCACAATATAACATATATTGTGCATTCATAAGACTTGAAGGAATCAATAGCAGGTCTGTCTGCTCACTAACCCCTGCTCCCCTATCTATTATTATTATTATTATTATTATTATTATTATTATTTATTATTTATACCCCGCCCATCTGGCTGGGCTTCCCCAGCCACTCTGGGCGGCTTCCAAAAAATATTAAAATACTGTAATACATCAAACATTAAAAGCTTCCCTAAACAGGGCTGCCTTCAGATGTCTTCTAAAGGTCTGGTAGTTGTTGTTCTCTTTGACATCTGGTGGGAGGGCGTTCCACAGGGAGGGCGCCACTACCAAGAAGGCCCTCTGCCTGGTTCCCTGTAACTTACCGTAGCTTCTCGCAGTGAGGGAACCGCCAGAAGGCCCTCGGTGCTGGACCTCAGTGTCTGGATAGAATGATAGGGGTGGAGACGCTCCTTCAGATATACTGGACTGAGGCCATTTAGGGCTTTAAAGGTCAGCACCAACACTTTGAATTGTGCTCGGAAACGTACTGGGAGCCAATGTAGGTCTTTCAAGACCGGTGTTATGTGGTCTCGGCGGCCGCTCCCAGTCACTAGTCTAGCTGCCACGTTCTGGATTAGTTGTAGTTTCCGGGTCACCTTCAAAGGTAGCCCCACGTATGGGGGGTAGCCCCACGTATGACTTTTCAACATATTAAATCCAGATTGCAGCATGTCACAAGGTAGTGAAAAGTTTAAGGAGTAGAAAGGACTTCCCATAGACAATCTCCAGCTCAAATTGTCTGTCTGTGCTGGAATGTGGTGTGGTTGCCCCCCCCCCCCATTCTGCTCTATCATTTGCTGAGTCTGATGTATTTCACATGCAAGGGAGAAGACAGCACAAGAAACCAGAAGAAACAGCAGATTAAAATGTAGAAACACAGAATCAAAACCTCCTCTGTTTTCTTGTTCCCGACCCTTCTCCTTTGTTTTCTTGAGCTTTCCCAAAACTTCTCCTGGGATGTTTGCCTGATACTCTGTTGAACCAAAAGTGAAATGTTCAAGAAGGCCTGCCAATGCCATCTTGATAGTCAGTATAACACCAAAACTAATTGGGAATGTTGCAAGAATGAGTTCATATATGTTTATATTTGTTTGCTTTGATGTATGCTAATTGATTTGCTTTGATGCCGTGCTGGGATGCAGGGCTCTTGATCTAGAAAGGGGAGATATCTGTAAGCTTAGGTTAGCTGCCATCTATTGCCATACCGGTCAGGTGAATTGATGGGAGGGTCTGGACAAACTGACGTATGCTGCTTTGTGTATAAAGAATATATAAACATTTGCTTGAGTGCAGACAAGTCATGACAACCTCCCACTGTTGCAGTGTTCATTATGCATCTGCAATGGGGCTTTGCAGGCTGTGCTGTAAGTTTATACCTTTTGACAGCCTTCTGGTATCCCTGCACTAAACCACTCCCACGAGCCCACATTTGGGCTAGTGGATCAGGACAAGTGGGTTTATTTTTTTTAAAAAAAATTCTTCGGGGCCTTAAAAAAAACTTTTATATTTCTGTTTCTTAGCTTTCAGTGAGTGTTTTATTGTTGTTTTACACTTAACTTTATAGTTTCATCCAACTCATGCCACCTATATCCTGAATTGCTTCATGTTACAAACACATGTGAGTTTTTAATTTCACAAATTCATGGAAGTGCCACTGATTTCATTTTTGGTTATGTCCACATAAGTATCCATAAGATTTCTATCTTAGAACTTGAAAACAATGTAAACTCCTCCACCATCCCCTTTAAAGGAAAGCAGAATTTATTTCAATATGTGCCCTAGACTCAGGGATAAATTTTATGAGCATGCTGCATGTAAGGATTTTTAGCTTTTGATGCATCTGAAGATGAGGACTCAAAAGGATGGCTCACTTGAATGCACTGACCATTGACTATCTTTTTAAAAACGGTTTTAGAGTGGTCATCTTATTTCTTGCTGAATTTACATGGGCGAGTTTACAAGAGCATCGTTATTACTTAATCCAAATCTTTAAAGGAGTAGGGTTTTTCAGACTAAGTAAGATTATTTTTTTTAGCAACGTGGTATCTTGATACAGGGAGATTTATGTGTGTATCTTAGGCTAAGGTTGCTTTTGACTATAAATCTGAAGTGGGAATACACCTCTCAAGTTAAAAAATGCCCATGTGGCAGTGAAGTTTTACTTATCCACAAAATATAATGGGAGAAATGTTGAAGCAAATACAGTATGGAGTCAAGAAGTTATCAGGTGTACTGTAATGTACTCATACAGAAAAATGGACATCCTATCCTGTATGATGACCTCTGTTGAGAGAGAGACAAGGGAGACATGTCCTTGTTAATTCTCCTCAACTTCTCAGTAGCTTTCGATACCATTGACTATGGTATCCTTTTGGAGCGGCTGTGCGAACTAGGGGTGTGTGGCACTGCTTTGTGGTTTATGCTCTGGTAACCTCAGGGTTAGATTACTGCAATGCATTATATGTAGGGTTACCTCTGAAGACAGTTCGGAAACTTCAGCTAGTGCAGAATTCAGTGGCCAGGTTACTCACTGGAGCAAGATGGTTTGAGCATATTACACCGATCCTGGTCCGACTGCACTGGCTACCAATTAGTTTCTGGGTCCAATTCAAAGTGCTGGTTTTGACCTATAAAGCCTTAAACGGCTCAGGACCACAAAACCCAAGGACCATCTCTTTCCATATGAACCTACCTGAACACTGAGATCATCTTCTGAGGCCCTTCTTTGTGTGCTTCCTCGGCAAGCGGTCCGGAGGGTGGCAACACGAGAACAGGCCTTCTCTGCAGTGGCTCCCCATCTGTGGAATGCTTTCCACAGGGAAGTTTGCCTGGCGCCTTCATTATATATCTTTAGGTGCCAGGCAAAAATGTTCCTTTTTAACCAGGCCTTTGGTTGATTTGATTGACCAATGTCAATCAGATGTGTTGGAGGGGTTATTGAGTTGTTGTTGTCTTTATTTTGATTATGTATTTTGTGGTTTTACATTTTGATTTTATTCTGTGAACTGCCCTGAGACCTGCCAGTATAGGGTTGTAAATACAGACAGACAGACAGACAGACAGACCTTAAAACTGGCTTGTGCAACTTGTTGTGACACACAGCCCATGAGTATCATCAGGGAAGCCCATCATGGGCCCAATAAATCTATTTTTGCTGCCTGCAGGTGAGCTGGGACTAGGGCTTTGGTGGGTCACCAGTTGTTCAGTTGTTCATTTCTAACTGATGCCTTCTCACACCTGCTATCTGAAGTGGTATAATTTCAGAAGGACTCTACTACTACTTAAAAAAAATGCTGAGTATGGTCAGGGAAGAACTCTGTGTGTAGTCCTGCAGAATTAGTTTGATATTTTCTGTCAGACCTGTCAGGCCTGCATTAACAGATTGACCGCAGCTTGCTCACCAGACATTTGCAACCAGATACCCACTGTATGTGCCCCTTTCCCATCTCTTTGTAGGAACATCTAAAAACCCATCATTGCTTATTACTCACTGTGTGTGGGCTGTTGTAGCACAGTTCCTTTCAATTTCATCTTCATAGTCTATTGTGATCATCGCCTCTGCTTCAATATTCAGTATGTCTAATGCGTTAAGTCACTGTTCTAACATTCAAGAACACAAATATATTTTTATTCTCTGTAATGCTGAGAAAGACCTTTCAGACGTACGATTGGTCGCTGCTGTGCAGAGATACATTATGAATGCCATGTCCACATATGGAAATACATCTTGCAGTATCTTGTCTTTCATCATTGCACACATTTTCAAGATGCTTTTAGGTTCTTCTGCTATACTGAATAAATAACTTTGTGGTTGCATTGGTTAGTGATGATTCTGCCAAGTCATTCTGATAGCAAGATTGCAAATCTTTTGTGCATGCTTGCACTTCTGGTAGTTCCTCTAATGACATTTTTGTTAGGAATGCAGACTTTGAATTCAGGTTCTCATATGCTGACCTTTGTGTCTCCAGCTCAGAAAGAAGCCTGTCAATTATCACAGTATATGAGTTAATTCCAAAGTTTTCACAAGTGTCACATCTATTTCACCATGTGATTTGTTACTCTGATGCTTCCTTTTCCTTTGCTGTTTTTTTGACATATCATGTAGTTGCTCAAACCTGACTTTTCGAAGAATTCAGACATATGTTGAGCATTTTTCACATACAATTTCAATTATTTATATAGCTGTACTGCAACACCAATATTGATTTCAGTGGTTTGAAGCTTCTTGCTGGTAATGTTGAATCAATTCAAAATGGTGTCCCACATTTGCGCCTTTATCACGGTCTCCAATCACTTCCATTTATTTAACAATCCTCTAGTTTCACTGCGACTTAAGGATTTATCTATAGTGTCTTTTTTGTAGTATATAGCACAATTTGGCTTTCATATTTGTTTCAGCTGTGACAAACTTCATCTTGAGATAGCCAACGATTGCTGGAAAGGAACATAGCCAGGTATCATTAAGTGTGACTCCAATACCTGCTATCGATGAGTAGATTACAATAAAAATACAAAAAGATTTTGAAATCCAAAGAATCCAGTTGTTTGTTTACAGTATTCTGCTGCATATGCTCCAATTAGATGCAAGGAGTGAGTAGAGCATGGCACAAAAACAGTACATGGGCAAGCTTCTTTTATTCCTAAATGAAGACCCTTGTATGATCCATACATATTGCTTGCATTGTAGTATGACTGCCCTCTATAGTTATCAATGTTTTGTTTATATGTCTTGAGAGTTCTAAAAGCTACATCAGCCAGCTGTTCAAATTTGTGGCCAGGATTAGGTAGAAAACAAATAAAATGCTCTCTGGGATCTCCATTTCTTTCACATACCAAATTATCAAAGAAAGCTGATTGTCAGGAGATGAATCTACACTTATCAGAAAATACTTTGTGGAATGCATTGCTTCTATATTCTGATTCAGACCTTTATCTGTCTTGGTGTTGTTAACATTTTCATAAATTAAAAAATATAAATTTGAGGTCTGACCCTTGCCTGGGTTTCTATATTTTGATATGTGCTTCACTAAAAATGGATCAAATTCAGTTATGAGTTGTAAGACCAAAGTTTACATTATGAGTAGATCCAAAGCAAACGGTACTTCTTCTGAAAGATAAGTCTTGAGATGCTAAAGCTTTGACTGTAGCTATAGCTCTTCTAAGAACACACAGCCAATACTTGATTTCTTCAACAATCTGATACGAAAGTTTCATGCACACACTTCCAAGGACTGACCATTGCTATTTCATAGCCAAAACACAGTTTTTATGGCCAAGAGAATTATCACATGCATATGTTAATAGGAATGTTACCAGTAACCAAAACCTTCCCTACCTAGCAAAGATGTTCCTCTAAACAAATGATATGGAAATCAAAAAATTGAGCCTAGTGACTTAAAGCACAGTAAGTATTCTCTCCTAGTCTTTTCTCCATTCAAGAGACATTTTGAGATAAATAATAGACTGTCATTGCTAGAAAGCCTGTTTAGATTGCGGGAAAATGCTTTTCAGAATAATATTGCATTTCTTCATTTATTGTCCATAGGACTGGATTAGTGATTCCGAGCACAATTCAAAGTGTTGGTGCTGACCTTTAAAGCCCTAAACGCCTCAGTCCAGTATACCTGAAGGAGTTTCTCCACCCCCATCGTTCTCCCCAGACACTGAGGTCCAGTGCCGAGGGCCTTCTGGTGGTTCCCTCGCTGCGAGAAGCCAAGTTACAGGGAACCAGGCAGAGGGCCTTCTCGGTAGTGGCACCCGCCCTGTGGAACGCCCTCCCACCAGATGTCAAAGAGAACAACAACTACCAGACCTTTAGAAGACATCTGAAGGCAGCCCTGTTTAGGCAGAGTTAGTACTGATGAGATTGGGAATGTTTCCACGTTGAAATGGAATTGGGAAGTTTTCTTCATTTTTCATCCAAGATCAAAGTCAGTGCTCATGTTTCCCAACTTGTTCATATCTTGTATTTGAAAACTGGTGCCCATAATGCTGGGGTTGGTTATATTTCCATTAATACGTTTCTGACTATTTATTTAATTTCTATACTACCCTTCATCCAGGGATCACAGAGCAGTTTACAACCCCTCTCGCAAGGAGGCATTAATCATCTCCCTGGCCCAGCCAGATGTCCCCTCCCTGTTAATTTTTATAAGCGAAGAGAGTAAGTGGTTGCCTTGATTGATCCAGTACCTTCTTCTCATCCTTGAGCCTTACTAACTGAAACTCATCTAACATAACAGGACTAGACAGTGCTCTGGACAACTCTCAGGATTCATCTGCTGTAACAGTAGAGTCATGGTTCCAGTGGATGCAAGTGATTTTATCCTCAAAATGCTTTGCAAACAAGTCACAGTGAGCTGCTATTGGTTCTGTCACCTCATACGGGCTAGGCTGTAAGAGGCTGCACACTAACGGGAAATACTCTGCTGGACGGCACAATGTGGATGCAGTGGAGGCAACAAAGTATGCCTCCTTTGCTGCCTTCATTGTTACTCGGTAGGCTCAATTATGAGCCTTCACCTGTGTTAGATTGCGTTTGACTGGAGTTTTCCTCCACTCGCATTTGAGTCATCTCCCAGCGTGTTTCCTTGCCCTAAACTCTGTCAGCTCAGGCAGGGAGACTGCTGGGCAGCAAGGCAGGCAGTAAACCAGCAGAAACCCTAATCTGTCTCCATTGTCCAATGCCAGGATTGGACACTCTAGATCTTCTCCCAACTGGACAGAGAGCCTGTGGAGAGAGAGTAAAAAAAATCTACAGAGAATAGCAACTCCCCTCTTCAATTCTCAAGTCTGCCCTGCTGCTGCACTGAGTACCCATAATCAGATCATAGACAAGGGGGGTCTTATTCAGAGCCGATTTGGCATTCAGCAACAGCAGCCACAGACCCAATGACTAAATGATAGGTCTAGGGTTGCTATACAGTGGTGCCCCGCAAGACGAATGCCTCGCAAGACGAAAAACTCGCTAGACGAAAGGGTTGTGCATTTTTTGAGTTGTTCCGCAAGACGAATTTCCCTATGGGCTTGCTTCGCAAGACGAAACGTCTTGCGAGTTCTTGCGAGTTTGTTTCCTTTTTCTTAAAGCCACTAAGCCGCTAAGCTGTTAATAGCCGCTAAGCCATTAATAGCCGCTAAGCCGCTAATAGCCGCTAAGCCGCTAATAGCCGTGCTTCGCAAGACAAAAAAACCGCAAGACGAAGAGACTCGTGGAACGGATTAATTTCGTCTTGCGAGGCACCACTGTATTTTGAAGAGTAAAAAAGAGAGCACACGCAAGCCCTCCCCCCTTATTTATTTGTTACTTCCTGCCCCTCACCGCAGCCAGTGGTCATTATACTTTGTGACCACCACCACCCTGCTTACCCACAAGGGTCATCAGGCTATGTTATTGTGCACTGCGACCTGACATGCATCCTTTCTTACAACTCGGTCTTGCAAGTTAAAAGTGGCATCATTTTGACTGTTTCATTTTATTTGAGTGTTGAAAGCCTATTTTCCTGTGCAACCAGACTTGTACATTGGTGCAGGTGTATCTGATTTTTTCTTTTTCACTTTAAAAATCAATTGTGGAAATAACAAGGGGATCAGAACTGCAGGTCTGTTTGCAAGTGTATTTGTATTTATTTATTTTATTTACTTTTTAATAGGGGCCTTGGGAAGTGCAGTGCCTCCCCCCCAGCTGAAGTAAAAGCAAAGCAGACAGAGGCACGCCAAACACTTCTCCTTGGCCCTCACCAGACACCCTCCCGCTGCCACTGCCCTCCTCCTAGGTCTTGTACAAGCAGCTGGCAGAGGAGCAGATGCAGCAGGGAGGGAGGGAGAGCCCCTTCACACAGAGTGCTCCCTCACACGGTCCAACTGCGAGTGAGGGAGTGCACGCACCTTCGCTTTGGCTCCTGAGAGGCCATTGGCGTCACCTTGTGCACCTTCTTCGCTGCTGCTTCTCTCTCTCCTCAGAAACGTGGTTCCTGCCTCACAAATCTGGTTCCCCGCTCCCTCGTCGATCTGGCAGGGTTTTTTGGGGGAGAAGATGCAGCTCACTCACTGGGTCTTGCGGTGACGGGGGCCACTCCCCCTGCCGTGTACTGTACATGGTGGTGGCCTGCAGGTGGGTGGTGTGATGCCTCCTCTTCTATGAGGAGTGCGGCGGGAGGGGGGTTGGTGGCGGGAGCAAGGAGGTGGAAAAATAATGATGGTGATGACGTTAATAATAAAAATAAAGCCCACCTCCTCCTCCTCTGTCTTCTGCTCTCTAGTAGGCTGGAGCTCTGCTGCCAAGGCTCCGCCGCCAAACCTGTGCACCAGACACGGTGATGGTGGTTGTGGTGGTGCTGAGGGTGGAGGAAGCTGAGTTGTGGTGAGGTGGGCAGGACCCAAGAGGAGGAGCTGGCAGAGGCAGCGGCAGAAGGTGGAGCTCCATTTGACAGCACACGAGGGGAAAGGGGGGAGAGGAGGGAACAGCGAGGCCAGACATTCTGGCCCATCAGGCGCTGGCCCTCCTCTGCTCCCAGCTTTGGTCACACAGTGGCAGTGGCCGCCTCTCGCTCTCTGGCGGGTACCTTGTGGCCCCGTTGCCTCAGATGCCCCCGTCACACTATGTGTCTCTCCTTTCTGCCTCACGTAGTGCTGGAACAATGGTACCAAACAAAAAAATCCCAGACATTGCACACGACACGACAGTCACTAACTGATTGTGCCGTGGGCCCCTTACCCAACCTGTTGCACCTCCCACACCATACCTCTCCCTACCCTAAACCATGGTGATTAGGCTCCCCAGCTCCTCTCCCAGAGACATCTCCCCTCCTTCAATAAAAGAATGTCAGGTTATAACATTTATCAGTAACTTTGCTTTCCTTGGCTACCCACTTGCTTTTTTGCATTTGGCATCACTTAGTCTCTTCATCGCTTGGCAGCTAGGAGTGTTCCTTGCCACTAGTCATGCAGCCTGTCTTGCACACATGGAACGCAGTCACTGGTAGTGCATGCATGGCAACCGGCAGTGATGCAATGTGGCAGATCAGCGTCAGCAATGGTTGAGGTTTGTTCAATTGAATTGCCTTCTCTTCAAATTTTCCACCCTGGGCAACTTCCTGGTTTGTCCTACCATAAGTATGTTTCCCTGGAATGCTCCGCTTTCCATTTCAGTCACTTTCCAGAGGGTGGTGCATAAACAGTTTTGTTTGACTTCAATGTGGGTTTCTGCAAGGGTTGATTTTACCCCCATACTGTTTAATGTCTACATAGAACTGCTGAGCAGGATCACCTGGAGATGTGGAGTATGTTGTCATAAATATGCTGATGATATTCAGTTCCATTTTTCCATTGCCCACCCTGTGGATCACCCTCCCATCAGATGTCAAGGAGATGAGTAACTATAACATTTAGAAAACATCTGAAGGCAGATTTATAGGGAAGCTTTTTAATGTGTAATGTTTTATTATGTTTTTATATATGTTGGCAGCGGCTCTGATTATTATTATTATTATTATTATTATTATTATTATTATTAGCACATATCCACCATGTAAAACTAGTTTTGGATTGGCTCAATTTCCTGTATATAGCTACAGTTTCTGCTGTACTTCCTTTGCCAAATAATTCTGGTAAAGTTGTTGCTCAGATGCATTGAACACACACACTCAGATGCCCTGACACACACACACACACACACACACACACACACACACACACTCTTCACACACACACATTTTCATGGAAAACAATGCACCTACCTTGGCACACACATAGTTTGACTCCACACATGCACATCCTTGTCTTGAGTGACCATCAACTTAGCTTCCTTTACTGTGTCAAGTACCTTTGACTTTAAAACCACCACCAGCAGTTTCTGACCATACCTCCACCTTTTTGAAAATATGGGTTAACATGCTCCCAAGTCAGGTTTGAGATGCTTGGCCATTGGTTTTTTGAGGTGCTGTAATATGCACTTAAGACAAACAATGTATTTTTTTGCATGCAATTCTGCACCTATAATTTCAGATATACAAAAGCAAAGCAATTATTATTCAGACTAAGTATTATTATAATTATCATGCATTGGCATCATTATTCATAAATCACAAAGCAAATCTAGAATGTCATCTTTCTGTTACTCAAATCATGAATAGAAAGTGATAATTTGGGAATAGCTTACAGTCATTTACATAGTTGATATTAAAAATATAAACATTAATACTGAGAGAATCTGATGACAGAGCTATTTATAATGATTGCTTGAATCTATAAAAAACGAACACAATTTTCTAAAATTTGGAAAACTACATGGAACTAAATTTTGAAAATTTTGAATAGGTTTTTGAATATCAATATATATTTTAAGCTATGTTTGAGGGCTTCTTTCAGAATTAATCCCTTGATTCTTACAGTGGTGAAGCATTCAGTAGTGAAGTCCAAAAAGCTTCCAATATTCGTAGTCCAAAATTCAAATATATTTTGCAAGTATTTGTAAATTAGGGTTCTAGATGTTAAATTTGTTCCACGCCGTGTGTGTATTTTCATGGCAGAGCTCATTGCATCAGATCTGTGTTTATCCCAAATTTCCAAGGTGGTGTTATATGTGGAACCTCAGGAATAATTTTGTTACTGTCGTGTGTTTCTTAAAGCCATTTCTCTGCTGTGGCAGTTGAAATTATTTTGCCTCTAAGTGTGCCATTATATGTAATGACACATCCAAATTGTGACCTTATACTTCTAGAATGCCATATCCTTTGAGTGCTTCTCAGGAATAGTCTTATTTCTGCTGCATATGTACACACTTCCCCTGATTGCAACCACACCACCCTTTTTAGAATGTCAGCAAATGCAATAAAATGGTTTCTTTCAATTTGGAAATTCATTGTTTTCTTTTAGGTGTAATGGATTCTTCACCCTACCTTCTTTTGCTCAGATCTTTTCAGCAGTTCCCTTTTCTGTCCTCCTTTTCTTCAGTTAGACTTCTATCTTTTTAAGTTTCAGTAGAATCTTTCATGCCCCTTTTCTGTACACTAGCCGTTCAAACATAAATTTAGGCCAAGTATTCTGTTTGGTTTCATTTTTCTGCTTCTGCAACTGTAAAAGCCCACTTGAAAGATTACTTAGTGGGGATTTTCCTGCTGTTGAGCCTGCTTGCTTGTTCTCAGAAGGGCACCTTTTCATTTTCTGATTTTATGTTTCCCTTTCCTTGAAGTTTATTTAAATTTTCAGAGGGAAAGGGGGAGGTGGGTAGCAATCTGGAGGCCACAAGCATTCATTGGGAATACTGAACTGCAACACTCAGTTATAAGAAAAAATATTCATAAGACTTCAATATCATTAATACTAGAAATGTGACTCTATTAGAACTGTAATTTTTCAAATATGATTGAAAGCAATATTTGTTCTGTTATTATAATAAACTAAGTTATTATACTAAATTAGCCGGTGTGGCATAGTGATTAGCAGTCTAGGACCTGGGAAACCAGGGTTCAAATTCCCACTTGGCCATGAAAGTTAATGAGTGACCTTGGGTCACCCACTGCCTCTCAGCCTAACCTACCTCGCAGGATTATTGTGAGGATTCAGTGAGGAGGGAGAGAATAATGTATGCCACCTTGAACATACTGTATTTTTGAGAGGTGCAGAAACTGCACTTCGGCTGGAAAAAAGTACTGGGCTTTATTCAGAGTGGATACTGCGTCTGCAACAGTGTCGGCTGCTTCTGCATTAGCTTTGAATCATCTTACCCTACAGAGAAGCAGAAAGCTGGCATGTGGAACAGTTATGTATTTTTGTGTATGTTTGTGATGTCGTAGAGGCTGTGTCCTATCTGTGTACTATACAGCCTCCTGCTAATTGTCAAAAAAGTTTCAAAACAACAACAGCATTTTTATTATTCGTTGTATCTATTCATATTTATCATTATTTATATCATATCTTCACAATCTACTCAACCCTTCCTTTGCATGAACTTCTATTTGAATGGAATTTGCATAGGAGAAACAATTGGCAAATTGCAGCCCTAAATCCATACTGTCATCCTTGATTGCTCTCAGATTAAAAGAGCCTAAGGAGACATCTATATCCTGGGCACTATCAACTCTCAAGGTCAACTAAAATTCCCACATATAGAGAACAATAGAGGATTGCTTACCATCTCTTCTGGCCCTAGGTCAGAAAGAAAATAAGCCCTATGTTTTCTAGGCTCATTTGGCACAATAACAGCCACTCAGTTCTTTGAAAGAACATCCTGAGAAAATGATGGAATTTATATAATTGTTCTTTATGCATCCAAATCCTACAGTGAAAATCTTTTTTGTAATGAAGGGGCTGTCATGAACTGGATACAACAAGCCACTTCTTTAAAAAGGAGATGTGCACATTTATTCAGTTGTTGAGGGAGCCAGAACATAAGAAGGCTGTGCTGGTGCTTAAAGTTCTCACAGAGCCATAGTTATTTTCTTTCTTTGTAGTAGCATGGAAGCAGAATCTGCCAATAACCCTAGTGTGTTATCATTGGCAGTGATACCTTGGTAGACTAACTGATGTTTCTTTTACTATTAAGGACTACTTGCCAAATTGTAAGAAATAAAAATTTAAGATTTTTAAAATTAAGTTACTATTTTTACAGAGACATGGAATGAGCAAATTATTTTAAAAATATTTTATTTCTGTATTGAATACATAAATATATACATTATTGTCCTTAGTCCTGGAAAGGGCAGTGGAATGTATTGTCTGCTGCATTGAGGCTCTTCTGGCTCCTGCTACCCAGGACTAATATATTTTACTTTTTTTGCTATGCCAGCTTCAGGGTATTGCAGCCGATGGGCTGAAGACTGGACCTCTTGGGAGATCCACAGGGGTTTTGATCCCATAGATCCACACCAAAATGCTGTGTTTGGTGGCTTTCCACTGGCTACTATCAGCAAGATGACTGTTAGTTGCTGCCCACTATGGTGAAGGTCAGGCCTCTCCAGCGGCAAAGTTCTACCATCAGTAGTGGAGAAAGCTGGAGACTACATTGCATCCTACTTCCTGGCCCTAGCCTTCAGCAGTGTGTGTGTTTTCAGCTTTTCAATTTAAAACTTACCAATAACCTATTTATTGATTATGCAACCAGTAAGCTTTTAATAAGCACCATTGTCTATTCCTGCACCCACCTCCCTCTCTCGGGCTGTGTTTGTCACTGTGCTAAGAGAATCATAGACTCACAGAACCACCGGATTGGATGGGCTTCCGATGGTCATCCAGCCCAACCCCCGACAAGGCTGGAATCTCCAATTTGCCCTGGCAGGTCAGGTTTCCTGGAGGCTGGTAGAGTGTATGCTCTTTCCTTAAAGACAGCTGCCAGTGGGGAATGTATACAGTTGGGAGGTGCATAGGAGGCATGGAGGGAGCTGAAACTGGAGCAGGAGCCTGCCTTGTTCTCCTCCAACATTGGATGGAGATAGCAGCTCTCTAGGCTGTGCTGCCTCCATCACTTGCGGTCTGAGGGCGTCCACTTGGGTGCTCGCCTCCCAGCAAGGATGGGGCACGCATCACAGCCGAGCACTGTTTGTGTTGCCACCACACACTGCTCACTGCCTTGCCCTTGGCACCCCCTCCCCCACAACCCATGCTGAGACGGCTAGCACACTGCACTCTTGGGGATACAAGGAGACATAGGCACCCCGTGTTGTCCTGTGGAGTTTGATGGCTCCTTCTCCCTCCTTCCCTGCCTTGCCCAGCACATCTGCTGTGACCTGTGTGCCATGAGGAGGCACCAGTTCCTGCTGGGGCCAAAGAGGGCACCAAGCCACCACCTCTCCGCCTATGCTGCCGATATCACCAGGGTTGTAACTGGATCTACAAGTTCCCTGAAAACAGTATCTTTTGGGGCCCCAATCTCATGGGAACCAAAACAGGACATCCCGAGATCCAATCAGAAGCCGGAATGGCTTCTGTAATTCCAGGATGCCTGCTAGTGGAACAATTGAGAGGTATGGAAACTTTATCTGGTCCAAAATGCAGCAGCCAGATTTCTGGCTCGGGTTTCATTTAGAATTCATAGAACCCTTGTTTTAAAATGTGCATTTGTTGTCCGTTAATTTCTGGGCCCAGTTTAAGTGTTTAAAATCCTAAATGACTTAAGCCCCAAGCATCTAAAAGACTGCCCCCTTCCCTACAGATGCTCTCAGGTCTTAAGATCAGCAGAGGAGCCCTCTATTTAGTCCTATCATTCTCAGAAGTTCTTGTGGTAGTGACCTGGGGAAAGCATTCTCTGTGATAGCTCCAAGTTGTAAAATTCCTCTCTACAGGCACCTTCATTATATATTTTCCATCATATTCTGAAGATCTACTTCTTTGCTTTTGACACCTAAGATACATATTTTCAGAACCCATCCTGAACTGTGATTGTAATTTGTTTTAATTTGTTTCTAATATTAATATCAAATTTAAAATTGCTGTAATATGTACTACTAATAATGATGATGGTAATAATAAGTAATAAAAATTGTAAGGGACATTTCACACATTTCCTGACAACATACATAGTTTTGCTATCAAGTATACACTCAAATGGGAGCGGTAGCCAATCCCAATCTAATTTATTTAGTTGCATATTACACATTTGTAAATTAGTGCATTGCATGGATACTTCAGTGGTGTAGTAGTTAAGAGCAGTAGACTCGTAATCTGGTGAACTGGATTCGTGTCCCTGCTCCTCCACATGCAGCTGCTGGGTGACCTTGGGCTAGTCACTCTTCTCTGAAGACTCTCAGCCCCACTCGCCTCACAGAGTGTTTGTTGTGGGGGAGGAAGGGAAAGGAGAATGTTAGCCGCTTTGAGACTCCTTCAGGTAGTGATAAAGCGGGATATCAAATCCAAACTCTTCTTCATCATATTTTTAATGTACAAAGTATTTTAAAAGATGTGGTAATGTGTGGTGTCCCTTATTTCCCCCCGCCTCCCCTATTCCCAAGGGAACTAAACGCAGATTACATCCTAGTACAGAATTATCCATTTCCATCCATAGGAAGATTTTTTTCTTGAGGTCCCATTGCACAAAAGTTGCCTGAATGAAATTTTATAAGGGACACTGTAGGAATATTTTCTAATCAAGCCCATGCTCTCCCTCTTGGCGGAGTTATTTCTCATTGATTCATCCACAAAAACATCTGTTCTTGTCTCCTTTATGTTACTGAAGTGTGACAAATTGGCTGTCAAGAATACTGCTCATTTTCCTTTAAGCCTATACTTCCTCCAAAGTGTCATTTTATGAAGTGCTTTTAAAGTCTTGTTTTCCTGTGTTGTTTTGCTTTTCCAGGGAATAATACCACACTTGTAAATAGGGACTGACTGGGCAATTGAACGGCCTTATATAATGAAGTGGAGTGATGGGCCAGTTCTTTTCCATAGGAAGCAGTGTGGTGAGTGGGTGGGAGGTTATTCTTGGAGAAAAGCCTTAGTGGATCACCTGATTTCTGTTTTTCCTTTTTAATTAAATATGTATTTTAGAAAGTGGTGGAAAATGGGATTTCTTTGTCACAGATTTGCTAGGTGGGTGAAAGACTTTGCATTCTCTATGGCTAACAAATATGCATTCTTTGCACAATAAAATGACTATCTGGAAATGCCCAAATTGGAAGTATGTGTAATGTCTACTATGTTATCTTGATTGTAATTTAATATACTATAATTGTTTTTTCTTATTATTGTTCTGTTGATTCAGTAAGCAAATAACTTGAAAAAGGCTTCAGGCTGAGATAGCATTTTAACTAAGCACCTAAACATGTGAAAGCCAGCAACTGCTCTACCTCTTGCATGCTATGCATCCCGCTTCCCACCTCCCCATCTATGGTCCTGCCCACTGCATTATCCTTTTAACCCACACAACAGCAGCTGAACAAGGGAAAAAACAATAAATCCATAAAATACCCATTCAGTAAATCCACTTGCATCACAATTAACACCAGCTGTAGCCAATTAATCTCCCTCTGCCATTCATATGCTGCGAAGCCAAGTATGAAACCTTTGCTTCCCAGCCTCTTTAGAGGTATTAAAAACCAAGGCTGGTCCTTGTTTACTTATGATGCTCTTGCAAGAATTGCAGGCTCCATTTTTGTCATTCGTCATGGGGAGCATTCAGGAAGGACTGTTTTCTTACATTAACTCGGGCTATTTAAACCTACAGTACTGGCTTTTATGGATTTTTCTGTGATATCCTAGGACAACAGGAAACCATCATGATGCTGTTGTTGTTGTTGTTGTTGTTGTTGTTGCTTCTGTGAATTTTCATTTTTCACATAAAACATAAAACAACATAACTCACAACACATCACCCACTTTGCTTAAAAATACCAATTTCAGTTCTTACAATTTATTCCAAAAACCTTTCCACATATTACTATGAGATATCAGGGGATTATAAACCTTTTGCCATACATTATAGAAAATATGGGGATTAGAATTCCCTTTGGTCGCATGAATTTGGCATGTCAGCTTTTCAGCCAGGGTTATTGTCCATGCTGTGGAGTACCATGCTTCAATGTTCAAACTCAAGGCAGTGCGCCATTACATGGTTAATTCCATACATGCCGCCATGAGGAGGAATGTTGAAGGTTCCTTTATAAACAGTTGGTGGAGTAGACATGTCCTTTATTCCAAGTAAAACAAATTGAGGGGAAGGCTGTTTATTAAACTCAACTATTTAAATACCAAAACAGGTTTGCAAAACCAAATATGTATGTAAGATCCCATTTCCCACATCCCCTGCAACAAGTTGATGTTGCCCCAGTATTATGTGCCAGGGGTACATGATACCACTTCTGTAAGTTCCAAAGAGGATTCACTTACTTGAACTGAAACTGTTTTAAAAGGTTTTTCTCCCAAAGTATGTTTCACTTTTCATTAGAGATTATTACTTGAAGGTCCATTTTCCAAGGAATTTTTGCAGCCATAAGATAGCCAAATTCTACCTCAATTAATATTTTGTATATGGTTGATACTGCATCCTTTAATGTAGCAGGAACATTGACCATAAGTTTTAAAGCAATCAGCTCTTTGTCTGGGTTTTATCAGAAAGAAAAACAATTGATTAAAATTAAACCATGACCATGTTAACATTGAGAATTTTAGCCAAAATCTGTTCTTTATGTAGTGGGGAATCACTTACATAAAAATCCCAGAATATATCCCTACTTGTTCCTAGCCTTCACAAAACGTGGGGTGCTTTGTAAATCGAATCAGCAGGGAGATCAGGGGAGCAGCTTTCTTGTATATTTTTCACCAAGCACTTAACACACTGAATAAAAATGAATTTTCTACCTTAAGAATTAATGTTGAGGTAGTGGTGAGAAAGGGCCATGTCCTAAACTTATAAAGTTCCAATTCTATTGGCTTTCCTCCTGGATCTTGAATCAAAGACACCAAGTTCGAATAGGGCATTCCCAGACCTCCCTTGTTGCATTATTATACAATATTTTCTGCATAACCTAAGAATGAATTTACCTAGTAATCTCTGCCAAACTTAAGTTGTTTAAGCATTATATTTATGGGCAGGACCTGAAATGGATAAAGAAACTTTGATAGCTTCACAGTCACAGCATGGCCCAACCAAGAAAGGTTAAGACCCTCTCAGGATGTTATGGCGCTGTTAGGCACAGAATGTCCAGAGTGAGGAATTAACTCCTTATTGTCAAAAGGCAATATGGGAAGGCATGTCCATCAGTCCTACGTCTCTCAGCTACTGCTAGGTATGCAGCCAATGTGGCAGTTGCCGCAACAGGGAGACTCCCGTCCCCCGGCTTATGTATTTCCCAACTTAGAGCTGCACGCAAGCAGGCGAAGACTCAGCCTGCGTGGAACCAATCCTCTTCCGGTCCTGGGAGACAGTAGAGCAAGAGAGGTGCAGGAGGCAGGGTGGAAGCTCTTGACTCTACAACAGCCTGACCCATCTCTCCCTCTTCCACCTGTTTTTCATTCTCTAGTCCTGCAGCTTCTCCTGCCTCTGACTCCTCTCTCTTGGCTGTTACAGGTTCTCCCAGTTCACCTAGCCCTTCTTCCAACACCAATCCCTCTTCTCCTAGTTCCCACTCACCAGTATCCAGCCACCACTTGTCAATGTCCAGCCAGTCCCTGACCCAGGATTTCAATTGGTTTTCATCTATGTTTGGATACTGCTAGACACCATTTTCAATCAAGATGATACCAAGTCATTCCAAACTGCACTGATTTTGATGCGTCTGCAGATATAGTCACCAAATTTGGTGTGATGGTTTCTGAGATGGAGGAGCAGGTTTGGCCTAATGCTGGATGTTATTTTGCATTAAGATGACAGATCAGACTTTCCAAACAGCACAGATCTGTTCGATTCTGAAGATATCATTGCCCATTTTGCCATGATGGGACTGGGGAGTGGGTTTGGGCTATATTTGGATACCATTTGAATCAAGATAGTGGACCAAAAAGTTCCAAATTGCATTGATTTGTACACCTATAAAGAGATCGTGAACAAATTTGGCATGACAGATCTTGAGGTCAAGGAGCATGTTTTTGCTCTACATTTGTTTACTGTTGGATGCCATTTGAATCAAGATAGCAGACTGAACCATTCCAAACTGCACTGATTTAGACATCTCTGAAGATAGCATCACCCAATTTGGTGTGATGATTCTTGAGGAGTGAGTTGTGGTCTATATTTGGAGACTCTCACACACCATCTTGAATCAAGATGGCAGACTGAAGTGTTATAAACTGAATGCATTTAGACACCTCTGAAGATAAGATTTTGAAGATGTTGGACTCAACTTTTCAAAACTACAAATTTTAACAATATCTGGCAGGAAACTGAAAGGGCAATGCACAAGATATGGTAGAAGCCCAATTCCAAACTGAATTGGGCCAATTCAGGTGGATCTAGATTTTGACTGAGTCAGGTCAAGGCAGCCCTGGATTCCTTTGGTTGGGCTACCTGGAGCAATCGGGGGCTATGTGCGGCAGGGCATCAGGAAGGAGAAAGAAGAGGTAGGCAGCTTCTGTAAAGAAGAGCATGGGGCTGTTGGCAATAGAACTTTCAAACAGTCATGCACTATACTTTGGCAATGTTGGTCCACTTCAGACAGCCTCTTCCCATGATGTGGCAGCAGCGGTGGCAGCACCAGCGATGGAAGTTAAGTAAGCGACAGCCATGGGACAGCCATGGAGTGGGAGCAGGTAGTGTCACTGCCAGTTGTGATGGAGGCGGTGGGGATGATAGGGGCCTGTACTTTACTGAGCCGGTACACATTTGGGATAGTGGCATGAGAGGGGCGGACTTGCAGTCCTAGCACAGCAGCCATCAGTAACTGTCTGCCAAGAGTGCAGTATTCTTGGCTGTAGGGATCTGCTTCAGCATTATGTTCTGCACATGGAACATGCTGGCAAAACAACACCCAGCAGGTTTGAACTCTCCTACACTCTGCAGTGTGAAATATAGCATTTTCACCCCCCACACCCTTCCTGACTGTATGGGGTTTAAAAGGCCCTAGTTAAACAGTGATTTGTGGCTAGATCCTGCTTGAGTGTTCCCTGATTCAGTTCAGAGGATCTATCTATTTATAAACCTGAGCATTTTTTGTTTGTTTGTTTGTTTCTTAGAATTCCTGAGCAATGCTGGTATTTTCTGCTAGTTTGTGGCTAATTTGAGACATTATTGACTCAGAAGGGGCTAATGTATGTGTACATTTTGTGTACATTTCATGTAATTCTGTCAAATAGATAAAAATTTAAAGGTGTTTTTTTATTATTTCCCCATAGTACCACATGAGAATGGGCCTTTTCAGAGGTGCCCCACTGACTATGGAACACTCTCTTAAGTGAGACATGCCTGGCATCACCTTCATCAGTTTTAGATGCCAGGCTAAGACTTTTCTGTTTACTCAAGCCTTCAGAGTGGAAGTGGGTATAAATAACAAATTATTATTATTATTATTATTATTATTATTATTATTATTATTATTATTATTTAATAATAATATTCCCCGGAGTGGAAGTGGGTATAAATAACAAATTATTATTATTATTATTATTATTATTATTATTATTTAATTAATTAATTTGCTTTTGGCTGAGCATTTTAAGTATGTTGTATTGTTAGTGATTTAAATTTTCTCTGGTTTTAAATTGTTTTATATGCTGTATTTTATTGTGAAGTTGCACCGAGACTTTACTGTAAACTGTAACTGAGAGATATTTAAATAATAATACTAAAACTAAAAATAATACTAAATACTACTACTACTAATAATAATAATTAATAAGCCCAAGTCCAACTTCTGGTTTTCTTGCTGTATTGCTGTAAAAAGAAGGGTAGGATGATAGCAGGATTAAAATTAAAGGATTATTTTTGCTTTCGTGTAATGGAAAACACATGTTCTTCCAGAATTCCACTCATAGTAATGCTATATCATAATGCAGCATTGTTCTGTGACAATCAGGAAGTGGGGAAATGGCTGATAACGAAAGGTGGTCACCTCAAGGAGCTCTGTAAAATAGCCTTCAAATTTGCCTGCAAAATGTGCAGTATATGATTTATCCATGCACTTAATTTCCACTGCTTATAATGGGATTTTGTTGTAAATGACGTTTCTTAGATTGCACCGAGGAAGTTTATCTCAAGAAGTGTATCTCTAATAAACCACTTTAAAAATGTAATTTTAGATATCCCTCAAAATTACACAAATAAAATAAAAACATAATACAAGATTATAGTGTATTGTGTTTGCAACAATGTTGCTGTTGTTGGCATCTGTCTGTTTCGGGAGACAATGGAGGAGTGTGCCTTTGGGGATGAAGTCTGACTCAAAACTGTTGGAAGGTTACAGCGGCTGCTATGGCTGTAGAGATCAATATGGGAGATAAATGTTTGGTTGCAGCTGGGGCAGATGAAGGTGTCCAGTTGTACTGCTGCAGATGCATTTCTTATCTCTGGACCTCTCCCCAGTGGTCATTCCTCCTCTGGTCACTGCTATGGATGCATGACCTGACTGCCTGTCTCCAGTCGCTGTGGTATAAAACTAAAAGGCTGAAAGATTGGAGTACAGTGGTACCTCAGGTTACATACGCTTCAGGTTACATACGCTTCAGGTTACAGACTCCGCTAACCCAGAAATATTACCTCGGGTTAAGAACTTTGCTTCAGGATGAGAACAGAAATCGTGCTCCGGCGGCGCAGCGGCAGCAGGAGGCCCCATTAGCTAAAGTGGTGCTTCAGGTTAAGAACAGTTTCAGGTTAAGTACGGACCTCCGGAATGAATTAAGTACTTAACCCGAGGTACCACTGTAGCTATAATGTTGGAGGCTGTAATCCTGTGCACACTTGCATGGGAGTAGGTGACATAAAACAGAGTGAGACTTTTGTCTGAGTAATCACGCTAAGGATTGGACTCCATATCAAGTTATTACAAAAAGTATTTTATTGCTATATTAGTAATTACCTTTTGCTTCAAATGAAAGCATGATTCTTAAAATCTGTCCAATACTACCTATTGCCTTCCACTGCAAATTTAGAATAAGTTCCATTCTCTTTCATTAGTTAACATTCAGTGCATTTATATATAGCAATATGTAATTATACGTTTGTGTTGTCATGGCAATTTAGGGCTGGAGTTGCCAGACTGCAACAATATTTCACTGTAACAGAGCAGTCCACATGAAACATGGAATTGTATAATATAAACAATATCATATTTATATTGATTTTTAATATATGGAAATCCCTACTCACTTGTTTTGTGCTAAGCTATTTTGGGATGTATAAGGATTTCAGAGCAACTATTTTAGAAACATGAATTAACCATTTGTGAAACAAATTCATGGCAGGCAGTTGTGTGCATTACCAATGGCTAGATACAGCAAATCTTCAGCCAGAGCCTATTAGTATTGCAGCGATCACCATGTTGAGACACTGATCCCCAGCTAAAAGATGAATAACAGTGGTATGAGAATACTGCAAAATTTTTGCCTTCTCAAATAATTTGCTTCTAACTTGGCTGATTGTTGTTGTTTAGTCATAACAAAATGTATACCTTATTCAAGGTTGCTAAAACAGCTGTTTGTTTTTTTTTAAAAAATAGTCACACCAACATTACTCTAGATTGTAGATAAAATAAATTACTAGTTTAAAACAGTTCTAACAGCGAAACCAGAGAAGGCATTAGGTAAAACATCAAGAACACAGAACAAAAACTTAAGATAAACACCAAAAGGCCATATAAATAGACTAGCATTCCAGTGGCACTAAAACAAATATTAAGAATGTGCTGGGTGGATTTCTCACTGGAGGGAGCTCCACAGTTGGTACAATCCATCCCCCCCCCCAAAGCCCTCTCTCTGACAGCTCCCTACCTGAATTCCTAAATGTCCTAATGGGATATCCTCAGAAGAGCTTCCAACAGTCTTTGCTGCTGGAGAGGTACACATGGATCACTTTATTGTTCAGGTATCCTAGTTCCAAACAATAGAGCATGTCTTGGCAGATTTATAGACAGTTGCTGCCAGGTTCTGCTGGGTAACTCCCTAGTTATCACGTTTATCTTTTCAATTCTGTTTTAGGTATTTTGCACAACTGCTACTGTTTCATGCTAGGCCAGTAGAGGGTATCTCTTGCCCTTCTCTTGCACAATACCATCCAAAGTTGCCATCTGGGAACACTGTCCTGCCCACTTTCAAAGTCTGACCTTATTCCAGAAATCTCTTGTGGCCAATGGAACTTGATGCCTGTGTGTAGGCCATTCTGCACATACAGATTCTGTTTGGACAGACATTACATCTTTTCTTTCTGTTTTCTGCCTGATTTCTTACAGTTTGTTTGTTGCAGGGAGGTGTTGTAGTGTCATGTGCACCTGCTCTTATAAGTCTTCCTGTTCTTTGGCATTTTGTCCTACACAGTTGCATGAGAGCAGACCAGTGATGGGGATGTCTTTCCTGGACTCGTATGTTACTTTTAAATTGTATTGTTGCAGTTTTAGGATCATGCATTGATGTTTTGGTGCAGCAGATGCTAAGTTTCTATAGTGTGCTTTTCAGGGGTTTGTGATTGGTATTTGTTTATTTCACAAAATTTATATACTGTTTGATTACAGAAAGAATAAAACAATAACATTTTCAGTAAAAAAAATCTTAAAAACAATTATTATTGTATTTTTATGCTATAAACTGCCTTGAGATTTCAGATGAAGGGCGGTACACAAAACAAACAAGCAAACAAACTGAATTATTTAAAACATTCAGAAATAATTAAAATCAACAAGAAGCTAAAAAACCAGATTATCTCATTTCATATCAATGCAAGTTACTAGCGCAAGCAACAGGCCTCCCTCTAGATTTGAGGGAGCTTTCCAGGAGCTGGTTTCCTGGGTTATAACTGTTTCTCTTAAAGGGACCATGTGCCAGATGATAATACATACATTGCTGAGCAGGGGTAAGGAACATTTTTTTCGGTTGGAGGGCCACCCTCCCTTCTGAGAAACCTTTCAGCGGCCACACGCCATTGGTGGATTGGGACAAAGGCAAAAGTGGGCAGAACAAGAAATGTGAATTTTAACTTTTATAATAGGCTAATTTCTGCCCACTCACATGGCCCTCACTATCCTCCTTCCAGGCAAGCGTGAAGGACGCAGCCAGGCAAATGCACTCAAGGAAGGGTGCAAGGATGGGGGTTTGACATGAGAGGTGTATGGCCTGGGGAGAGCCCCAAAGGTCATCTAGACAGGCCTGGAGGGCTGCTTGTGGCCCCTGAGTCTGAGGTTCCCCATCTCTGATGCAAAGGTTTTTAAATTAAAATCAGCATTTTGAATTGTGTCTGGAAAACAGAATGGAAGCTCACGTATAGAAGAATAGGCGTGAATGTTCACTTAGCTGTGAGCCTCTGTCAAACAGCAGAAGTTCCTTAACTTTTGTCTGGTCCAGTTTTGTGGGACCAGTTTTAGTTTCTGAGGCCTGAGGATGTGGACATGATGCTTCAATTACATGCCCTCTCAACCTCTGCCCTGAGTCAGAAGAGGCTGTGAAGGTCCTGGACTGTTGTCTAGATGCAGTGGTAGGCTGGATGAGGGCCAGTAAGCTGAAGATGAATCCTGACAGAATGGAAGCACTGTGGATGGGTGATCCCCTTGTCTGGGAATTAAAGAATTAGTGACTCTTACATCAGTACTTTCAAGGTTAGATTATTGTAATGCATTCTACATGGCACTGCATTTGAGGTTGGCTTGAAAGCTTCAGCTCGTACCAAATGCTGCAGCTACACTTTTAAGTGAGACAGCCTACCCGGAAGATATTACACCAGTTCTGAAGGAATTGCACAGACTGTCAATATTCTGCTGAACCACGTTCAAGGTGCATGTTGACATACTAATATCTATGTGGATTATGACTTGGCTATTTGATGGAGCAGCCTCTTACTTACTTGTCTAGATATTAAGATTTAATGGATATGTTTCCTTGATTGGGCTGCAATTGCCAGGGAATTAACATGTTGCAGCCCAAGAGAGTTGCAACATATATCAAGAGAGTTCTTGATATACGCACTCCTGTTACAAAACTTACTAGTTTTAATCATTTCATTTTATTTTTAGTGGAATGGTGCAGCACTTCTGTATTGGCTCCACTGGTGTACCCATACAGCCTCAACATCACTGCTGCCCTGCCCTGTTCCAATAAGTGGCTGTGACACTGGTGTTGGGAAGTTGGCTCTTCAATACTACCGTACTCTGCTGGCTGCTGTTAACAACTAAAGTGTTAACTAGGCACTCTTGTTTACAATATAAGTGTCTTGCTAGATCGGACTAAAGTCCATCTAGTTTAGTATTATTTGGAAGACTCCTGAAACTATTCATATTCTTTATTAATTAGTCACTTTACTCAGAAATGACTTAAAGCAACTTACAAACACAATAGAAATACTAAAACCAGTAGACATTACATTGTTTGCTAGAAATTGGTCAGTGATCATTGCCCACCTGTGCTTTAAATAGTAATGTTAAGCACTTAACATAATTACATTTTGTTAAGTAGCATATGTAAAACATGTAGATGGCAGATGCAAAAAGAGATGAAGTATGAGTTGCTGTATGTCAGAATAGGCTTGTGGATAAACTTGGGAATAGTATTCAACAGTATCACCTCTGTTGAATCCCAAACAACTGCTCCCTGTTCCCCTTCCTTGGGGAAATATATACTGGTTTCTCTTACCACTTTTACACAGTTGTATGTCTTCAAGAATATAATAAGTAATGGAGATGTGGCCTAGGTTTACATTGCAAGGAAAATTTTGAATCAATATGTTATGCTGAAATAAACTTTAAAGATGTCTTTGGATTTCTTTGGATAATTGTAGTTGTACTTGTGGGATCCTTCCTGTCTCTATCTGATGATAAAGAGGCTTTATTTTTCTATTAGAAACTGAGTACTACTGTTCTTAAAGTGTTCATCATCCCTTGCCAGGATTAGGATAATACACATAAATGAGGATAATGTAGATTTAAGAGTACTTCAGTTGCATGAAACACTTTTTTTTACATTGCATAAAGGAGCACATTAGCTCAGTTGAAGGGAAATGTTTCATTTCTTCCTATTTAAGTGACACATTCTCTCATCCAATTTTTCAGTACTTTTCCCAGCAATTTTAGTTTTAGTTTTAAAAAAACACAATGGCAACCTCTGTAGTCAAATAAAGTGATAAAATTTAATTTCAGAACCCATGTGATTTGAGTATGGAGGGAGAGGGACTTGGGAGATGACAAAGCAAAATTCGGAATCCTGGAAAGCTGATAATAATAATAATAATAATAATAATAATAATAATAATACTTTTGTTTCACCTTTCATAATGGATTTCCAGTGCAACTTACAAGTTGAAATACAATTAAAAGGTAAAGGTACCCCTGCCCGTATGGGCCAGTCGTGTCCTACTCTAGGGTTGCGTGCTCATCTTGCTCTAGAGGCCGTGAGCCGGCGCCGTCCGAAGACACTTCCAGGTCACGTGGCCAGCGTGACGAAGCTGCAGCTGGCGAGCCAGCACCAGCGCAGCACACGGAAACACCGTTTATCTTCCCGCTATAAAGCGGTACCTATTTATCTACTTGCACTTAAGAGTGCATTCGAACTGCTAGGTGGGCAGGAGCTGGGACCGAATGACGGGAGCTCACCCCGCCACGGGAATTCGAACCGCCGACCATGCGATCAGCAAGTCCTAGGCACTGAGGTTTTACCCACAGCGCCACCCGCGTCCCGGAAATACAATTAAAACAAAATAAAACTGGGAGGGGTAGCTAATACTGCAGAAGACAGAATCAGGATTCAAGATGACCTTAACAGATCGGAGAACTGGGCCAAAACTAACAAAATGAATTTCAGTAGGGACAAATGTAAGGTTCTACATTCAGGCAGAAATAACCATGAAGTCTTCAATATGAGGTTCCCCAGGGTTCGATTTTGTCGCCCATGCTGTTTAACATCTATATGAAACTGTTGAGTGGGGTCATCTGGAGTTTTGGAGTTCTACTTCTCCTTTACACCTGTAGGTGCAGCAGTGGATGTGCTGGATCATTGTCTTGCCTCAGTAATGGACTGGATGAGAGCCAATAAACTGAAGCTCAATCCAGATAAGACTGAGGCACTGTTAGTGGATTGTTCCCTAGACAGGATGGATGAGAGGTTGCCTGCCCTTGATGGGATTACATGCCCTCTGATGGGATTACATGCCCTCTGAAGGAGTGTGTACACTGCTTGGAGGGTACACCTGGATCTTTTGCTGTCACTTGAGGCTCGGATGGTCTTGATGGCATGGAGTGCCTTCCATCAGCTTTGGCTGGTGGCCCAGCTGTGCGCATATCTTGACAGGGATAGCTTAACCTCTGTTGTCTGCAATGTGGGACTGCCTCTGGAGATGGTTCAGAATTTCAGCTGGTGCAGAATTCAGTGGCCAGGTTGCTCACCGGGGCAAGACTGAGCATAAAACACCAATCCTAGCCTGACTCCACTGGCTGACAATTAGTTTCCAGGTCCAATTCAAAGTGATGGTTTTGACCTATAAAACCTTAAATGACCCAGGACCACAATATCGCAAGAATGCCTCTCTCCTTATGAACAGACCTGGACCCTATAGTCATCAACTGAGATCCATCTTTGTGTGCCTTCTGCACGAGAGATCTGGAGGGTGACCTTTTCTGTGATGGCTCCTTATTTTGGGAATGCTCTCCCCAGGGAAGCTTACCTGGCATCTTTGATATACATCTCTAGACACCAGGCAAAGGGACGATGGTGGCGCTGTGTTCTAAACCACTGAGCCTCTTGGGCTTGCTGACCAGAAGGTTGGCAGTTCAAATCCCCACACCAGGGTGAGCTCCTGTTGCTCTGTCCCAGCTTCTGCCAACCTAGCAGTTCGAAAGCACACCAGTGCAAGTAGATAAATAAGTACCCTGTGATGGGAAGGTAAATGGTGTTTTCATGCGCTCTGGCTTCCATCATGGTGTTCTGTTGTGCCAGAAACTGTTTAGTCATGCTAGCCACACGACCTGGAAAGCTGTCTGTGGACAAATGCCAGCTTCCTCGGCCTGAAGCAAGATCTGCACCACACCCCATAGTCTCCTTTGACTGAACTTAACCATTCAGAGGTCCTTTACCTTTTTTACCTAGACACCAGGCAAAAACTTTCCTTTTCTCACAGGCCTTTGGCTAATTAAACAATCTATGGCCTTTTAAACTGGGTGGAGGTAGTGGTTTTTGTTTGTTACTATGTTATGTATTTTTGTGTTTATATTTTTGTGTTTATATACAGTAAACCGCCCTGTGATCCTTGGATGAAGGGCAGTATATAAATTTAATTAAGAATATTAATATAAGCTAGACTTTTGACTCAAGGCCAGAAATGAACTAGGAGCTAGTGTGATTAATAATACAGTTGGTATCACATGACCATAATGCCCTTGTTAGCAATCTGGCAGTTGTATCCTGAGCTAACTACAGTTGTTGAAGTCTTCAAAGGCAACCCAAATAGAACACATTACAGTAGTCAAAGCATGGATAACTGAGGATAGGCTATCTACCTATGTTGGTAATGTGAAGAAAGGCCCAGATCTGCCCCACCATTCCTCTAGGTCAAGCTGTCACATATCTTCCTCCCATTCTCTTCAAATGGAATAAGGAAGATGTCTACCTGAGGGATGTGAGGGACTTGCACAGCTGACTCTGGATTTTCTTGGTAAGAAAGAGCCTGGGGTGACTCCTCCCAGGAGAGGGAAGATAGACTTTAAAAAGCTGAGCTGCCCTGCATATGTGCTCCCTCCCACCATGAGGGATCTTTTAATGAAGCTGAACTTGTAAGTAAATTAGAATTGCTATATTGTAATGAATAGGCTGGGATTGGTCCAGTTTTAGAGCCACAGTGATTTGATTTATTTTGTAGTCTGTTTTGAACTTCTGCCTTCTTTTCTTCTACCTTTTATTTTTAATAAAGTATCAGAATAGGGTTGCCATATTTTAAAGAGCAAAAAAGAGGACACATTTGCTGGTGCCTGGAGCGGGGTGGGGGAGGGGGTTCAGGAGCAAAAGTGGGCACATTCTACAATGCCCCTTCAAAATATACAAAAACAAAACTCACACGGTATACATATATGTTTCAGACTTGGTTGTCTAGTACTGTATATGCAACATAAAAAGTAGCCTGCTCTCACACCCCTGGGCATTTTGGCAAATTCAAACAAATCTGCCTGGACAGAATTTTTATCCCTGAAAAAGAGGATGTGTCCTGGAAAAAGAGGGTGTATGGCAACGCTATTTCAGAATAAGTTTAGGAACAGGATTGTAAGAGGTCAGCACATTCTTCTGAGAGCAGAGAGAGACTCGGGGAGTGTGGGCTGCCTTTGCACTCTCAGTAACATATAAGGGAACAGTCTAGTAAATGCAGGATGTGTTGGTTTTAGAGTTCCTTGGTTTTAGGAGGTTTAGTGGGGTCTGCCATGGAAAAGAGCAAGCTGCTTTGATCTTGGACTAGGATAAGGCAGCTGGAAGCTAATCCTGCTTTCCCCAGCAATTTGTGTTTGGTTGAACCAAGGAGTGCTGGATGTCCTGGCTTGGAGGCTTTTAAAAAGTGATTGCTTTGGTGTATCCCAGGTCCTCTTCCATCTGGGCTGCAAGAGTAAGTGGGAGGGTGATGCCAGCAACTACCAGAGAGTAGTACCTACTGGCAGCACTGCAGGGCTGTTGTGTTGCAGTTAGACAAGGAAGAGGGTGAGAGAGCTGCTGTCTTGGGCAGATCACCTTTGACAGAGGTAAAAGTTGCTCTGTGCTAAAGGATCAATCTATTACAGTACTTCAGATGACAAGGGCAGATCAAGGAGCATCTCTGAATTGCAGATCTGTCCCTTTAGTCCCTAACTTTAAGGTTTAAGAGGAATGCAACCGCCAAAACAGGAGAAATACCACTAACCTGGGTGGATGGACTACAGGCTAGTAGCATCTTCATTTTGCCTAGATTGAGCTTCTGTTTATTGGCTCTTATCAATTTGAGTCCTGCCAGAGAACTTTCTGGGGTGCAGTTCAAATTTTCTCCTAGTGCCTTCCATTCATGGTGGCATCAAATAGAAGTTGAACGAGATCTTTTTCAAGGATTGCCTAACAGGACGTGCTTGTGGGGGCATTAAATATAGTAGTGTGTTTGATTTCCATTAGGTACTGGTTCAGCTGAAGGAAGAACCATTGTCATTGGATATCCTGTCTTTGACTGGTAAAAGGTAAAGGTAAAGGGACCCCTGACCATTAGGTCCAGTCGTGGCTGACTCTGGGGTTGTGGCGCTCATCTTGCTTTATTGGCTGAGGGAGCCGGCGTACAGCTTCCGGGTCATGTGGCCAGCATGGCTAAGCCACTTCTGACGAGCCAGAGCAGTGCCGTTTACCTTCCCGCGGGAGCGATACCTATTTTCTACTTGCACTTTGAAGTGCTTTTGAACTGCTAGGTACAGTCACACTATATAGATTTGTTCGAATCTTTTGTGCTCAGTTTCTTACTTCTTAGTATTAAAGCACCTTCAGAGATGAAGCTGAGTGAGGGCACTCTGGGGACACACTTACCACCTCTGCACTTCATTCTGTTATCTTAGGCATGGTACTAAACACTTCACATGACTTTCACAGCCAAATATCAGGATAATGCGCCATTAACAAAGGAGCCCATGACTCTTGTTTGGTGGCTCCTGGTTGTCTAGCTAGTCTGATCTATTCCACAGTACTGAATCAGACCACTGGTTCATTTGTCCACTGCTAATCACCCAAACTGGCAGCAATTTATTAGGCTCTCAGGAAGATATGTTTCCCAGGCATGCTATCCTTTAATTCAGCTAGCGATATTTGCAATAAAAGTATACTTTCTTCTGTTGGGAAGATGTGGCTCCAGGGAATATAACCACATATCTGTGAAGCAGCATAGAAGTGGTCCTTCGTTTAATAAGAATATTTTCACCATGTATATGGCCCAGCCTGCGGTATCACGATTGTTCAATGCAGTGCCTGTCCTGTGCAGTCTTTCTGTCTGTATGCTGTTGCTGATGTTGTTGTCGTCAATGGTAATCCTTTGTGTGGGCATATCTATGTGTATGGCTGTTGGGCATTCTGCATTAAACACAATAGCATGCTTACTCATGAATGAAATTACTGGAACCCTGTTGGGGAAGGAGTACATAGCAAGATTCAAGGCACAGCCTTGCAAAACAAATGCTGCAATTATACTGTGCCTGAAAACAAGTAGCTTTTAATGTGTCCATATGCTTAAGAAAAGAAAGAATTATAGACCAACACTCATACCACCACCCCCCTCTCTTTTTTCTTCCTTTTTCTCCTTTTATACAGTTTATCACCCATAATTTCAGGATGTGTTTTGTTTCTTTAAGCTGTTTTATCTCTCAGCTCATGAGGTCACTCATGTGTGAATTCTTTTGTTCGTCATCTCACCTTTTGCCTTGATGATAGAAAATTGATCGGGCCTTAAAGCACAAGTTCAATAGACAACCCCCTTGGTCCTTTGTTTAGGAGAATAGCTACCACTGAAGACCACGAGCAGGTTGCTATTAATATGACAGCCTCTCTCTATCTCCCACTGTAATTTATAATGAAATACCTAATCTCCATTATTTTGATCCAAGCAGGCGATCCCATGAAAAAAAGTCTTTTCATCCAGTTCCCAATGGCAGTTACATGAGAAATGGCAAACCAATAATTTTTGTCAAGTTTTTTTAAGCCAACAGAAATGCTTTTCCACTGCTACAGTTTCAAAAGGCACAGATAAAGCTCATTCACTGAGATGAATGAAAAAAGCCATCTGGGGTTTTTCTTTTTGACTTCCTTTCCTTTTTCCTCCATCCTTGTAATCAAATTTGAGCGAAATCAAATGGGGCTTTCTATGAAAGTACCTTTTGTTGATCTGAACGAGCTGGTAATTTACAAAATACCCTTCTTTTGTGAGGAAGGCTAAAGAAGAAGGGGGGAAAAAGAATCAGTAGCTTTTAAAGCCGGGCCTTGGTGGGACTCTAAATGCAGTGAAAGCTGTCTGTGTTGAGAGACTGAAATGCATTTCAGAGCCAGGCCTTACCCAGGGCACTGGAAGAACAAACCTATGTGCATTTTTGTGGCAATAAAAACATGAATGGAAAGACAGAAAGGACGAGAGATAGAGAGAGAAATCTGGATCTGGAAAATGCATTAAATATTATTTTGGAGTTTCAGCCCTATTCTTTGACACACCATACTTAACAAGCAAGACTGATTGACCTCACCATTTTGGACTGTCAGAGCTCAACAACATATCGGTCTTTATAGTCGAAGAGGGGTGTTGCATCTCTTGGATGTTGCGGGACCATCTCCAAAGCCATCTATCTGTTTATTTGCTTCACTTACGAAGTGTTGCAGAAGAAAAACAACACTTAACCAGAATCTGGACTTCACTTCCTTTCCCATTTGTTGATGTTTCACTATTTTATTAAACAGATTTCTCTCTGGCAGCTGACTCAAAACCAAAGAACAGTCTGAACATCACAACAGTAAGTTTATTTTTTCCATTATCAATAATTTATGTTTAAGTCCTAGTGAGTAATTAGGGCAGGAAGCTTAAGATTCATTGCAGGATTCAGGAGGCTATATTTACGTTATACAATAATTTCAAGTTTGAATTGTACATTCGTTTCATGTTGGTAATGATCATTATGGAGAAGAATGACAGATGTGGCTGCTACACACTGGGAAATCATCTGTAGAGAATAATGAAGTTCAGAATAACATGTAGCTCTAGCCCATGATTAATTAATTATTGCTAGCCCTGGAGACTTAAAAGTTAGTGATTTCTGTTTCTGTATGTAATAGTAATGTACATACATAGTAATGTACAACATTCCCTGCAAAAAATCTTTTAAGTACAGTACTGTAATGCTTAAAACTTTGGAGATGACTGTATTATTCATCCTTGCTTTATTTCACTTTATACATCGCCAAGAAAGAAAGGAACTAAATGTTCTAGCCTAGTAAAAGTCTTCCTTGAGTTTACATTAACTTGGAGAATTGAAATAGCTGTTTAAAATGAGAACTAGAATGATTTGCTTTAAGTGTGAGTTACTATCTTGAACTTGCTATGTTTTTACTTTTTTTTTTGGATCCAGGGAGAAAAGGCAGTGTCCTTCCACTATTTTGCTGGCAGTAGTGGTGTGCATACATGAACAGAATAATGTCATATCACATTTGGCACCCTAGTCTGAAACTGATTATATGCAAGTTAAGTCTCAGTGGGTTTCATGTCTTAACAGAGTATTTTGTATCAGACTGTTTGTACGGATGCCATTCATGGGATCTTTGTTTTGATAATGCCTTAGATAAACCATATATAGTACTTTTAGGTCTTCCCTAAAGGGTGGTAAACCCCAGAATCTGTTTTAACTGCTTGCCCCTTCATCTCCAATCCAATCAGATTAACAGGGAAGGCAGTTTCATTCTTGAAAACATTTTGAGCTGTCTGCTGCCTCCTAATGACTGACTTATCTAATAGCAAATGTGACATATTTTTTAAAGATTTCCTTTCAGCTGCATGTATTAAATCACATGTTTGTTTGCGTCTCGTACCAACTCATTTATTAGTTTTGCTTTGTGCTATCAGGTTTGGAAGAAAGTTGATTGAATTAGCACTTCTACTGTTGATGCAACTGTGTGGGGATGTATGAATGTTTATAATCTGTTGTAACAAATATAGTCTATATCGTAAAGAGCTAGGCAGGAGCATTCCCACTGGTGGGGTTGATCAGGTAAGCAAAGTCTAAGCTTAGGACGATACTGTATTTTTAACTGTTGTAAAAGAGGGAATTTTAGTACGTACAGTTTGTGAGACAAGGGTGAAAAAAGCTGCATCTGCTAAACTTCTCTCTTCTACTGAACTATTAAAGATGTACAAGGCCCACTGATTCTCTGTATTCAGAGCAGCAGCAAGATAGGATTGACTTCAGAGTACCAGGAGAGAAAGAAAGAGAGAGGGGGAGGAAGGAAGGAAGGAAGGAAGGAAGGAAGGAAGGAAGGAAGGCAGGCAGGCAGGCAGGCAGGCAGGCAATTCAAGGCCGGGTGCTCCCTCAAGGGTCAGGTTCATAGGAGGTACAGAGCAAGGAGAGCCAACCACCTGAAAACAGACAGGTGAATGAAAATGAAAAAATAAAGTTATGGAAAAAATATTGTAGGGAAAGGTGCAATATAATGTCTCTGGACCATACCTGTAGCCAGCATATCACTCATCAACCTCTTAGGGCTTCCCTTTTCAGAGATTTCTGGGAGATGGGATCGTGGCAGCCCAAATTTTCAGTTGTGCTAGGATTGCTGGTCAGCATGGTGGAGTTAAGGAGTAAGTTTTCTTCAGTGTGAACTAGCTAAGTGAACCACTGGAAAATGGCTCCTTAAGCAAGAAGATTTGCTATGTTCAGGACTTAACTGGAACTACCTAATTGCAACCCTCAACCTATAAACACCATAATTGTACCCCAGTCACATGTATACTAAAGCTGCAGTTGAGCTTTATATGGAAACTTGCCTGGGATCAGCTGGCATATCCCATAGCTCACTAGCCGCGGAACAATATAAAAACAGATTTATGTTCTTTATTCATTTATTTATTTATCGAAATTATGTTCTCAGAGTGGTTTACAAAAAAATACAATAATGTATAATAAAGCTCCAAGCATAAAATTACATATACCTAGCAACATTAACACCAACAAAAAGAAGAAGGCATACAAGACCACTTCTACCACTACCCATCCATTAAAAAAAGAGTTTAAAGCATTTTTAATTTATAAGCTTCCATCTGCCATTTGTAAGCCAGTATGGAAGATGACAAGTGAACCTTTGTAGTCAGTGGGTTCCATAACAGGGGTGCCATAACAGGGAACCAGAGGGCATTCTTGGTAGTGACACCCTCCCTGTGAAACACCCTCCCATCAGACATCAAGGAGATAAAGAACTACACAACTTTTAGAAGACATCTGAAGGCAGCCCTTTATTGGGATGTTTTTATTATGTTTTTATATGTGTTGGAAGCTGCTCAGAGCAACCCAGTCAGATGGGCGGGCTATAAATAATAAGATCACCATAATCATCACTAAAAAGGTGCTAAAGCATGTCCGATGGCAGGGGCCCTAATAAGAGAGCTTCATCTACCAACTTCACTGCACAATATGTAGCTCCATGTACATAATCCTATTTACTGATAATGAACTTATTATCCAAGTGCTTATTTCTTACATCACCAAAATGGTACTACCTAAGCTCAAATGAGAGGTATCAGCTGGCAAGGGAGAATTCCAGTCTTTATAGAAAAACAAAATATATTTAGGAAAAATAACCCTACTAGGGAGTGGGGGGGATGGACCCAAAATAACCCAATGAAGACTCATCAGGCTCAGTGAGCACAAGATGTTGACTGACAGTTGGGTATGCATGTGTATGTGGAAAACCAGAAGCAAGGGGGAGGAGAATCCTGAGCAGGAGTATTCTTCACTGCATTGTTTCGTTGTCTTCATTTTATGGAAGTTGTCACTGATAAATCACTGTCCCCTTGTCTTTTGGGGATCCCTTGTGAATGCTGTGCTATGTCAGCATCGCCCTTGAGCCAGTGCCACCGACTGGACTCATCCACTTCAGCCCCGACTGGGCTAGGTGAGCTGGGTAGCACTTCCAGAGACCACCTTCTGCACAGGAACAGGTCAAAGTGCTGTGGACTCACAGCTTAGAGTTGTGAGCACCGGATTCACTCCAACAAGAAGACAGTCGTCGCACAGCAGAGTATAGCAGAGCATAAACGACTCGGAGAGCAGCTCTGTAGAATATCTTCTTTTATTCCATCTACAACTATAATACACAACTATGTAAAGAGCTAAATGAGGTCTAAACAAAAATGTTGAACTGCACTAAGTGTCTGCAGCTGCTCTTAGCAGCAACCTTATCTATACACACAATCTCTCTCTAACACTCAGTTTCTCTCTCTCCCCCCGACACTTTGATGTGAGGCTGGAGCGGAATAAGTAGAGAGCAGAAACCGCCCCTCCTCTCTGAAGAATCAGCAGAGAACATCAGCAGATTCTTGGATATGGGAGGGGTGAACTCTCCTCATCTAGTGTTGTTACTCTAATTCCCTCCTTCAAGGTTTCCCTGCTTGAGATCTCTAAAAGTTGATCAATTCCCTTCAGTTCACACCCCGTATATGTAAGATTTTTTTGCCCCAACATGTATTACTTTCCACTTGTTCAGATTGAATTGCATTTGCTGTAATACTGCCTGTTCACCCAGTTTGTAGCAATCCTTTTGAAGTTCTTTGCAACCACGTGGTGTCATCAGCAAACCTGGACAGCTCACTGCTCACCCCTAACCTCCCAACCTCCCCAGATTGTGTACCTGCTCTTTCAGGATCAGGAGTGTAACTTCATTAAGAGGAGGCAACCTCCCATCCATCTTGTCTAGGGAACCACCCACTAGCAGTGCCTGGTTTATCTGGATTGAGATTCCGTTTATTGGTTCCTATCCAGTACTTTACTGAGGCAAGACAATGGTCCAGCATGTCCACTGCAATACCTGCAGATGTAAAGGGGAAGCAGAGCTGTGTGTCATCAGCAGATTGCTGACAATGTACTCTAAAACTCCAGATAACCCCACTCAGCATTCTCATGTAGATGTTAAACAGCGTGGAGGATACAATTGAACCCTGAGGAACACTACACTGAAGGCTCCACAGGGCTGAAGAGCACTCCCCAAATATCACCCTTCGGAAATGATCATACAAGTAAGACCAGAACCAGCACAACATTATGCAACCACCCCTAACTCGGACACTGCCCCCAGAAGGATCCTGTATTGAATGCCGCTTTATAGGATTGCCATGTGTCCTTTCTTTCCAGGACACGTCCTCTTTTTCAGCGGTAAATTTTGAGACAAATTGCAGTTATTTGCTTTGAATATGAATATGGCTGTCATAGCGTCCTCTTTTTTGCTCTCCAAAATATGGCAACCCTACTGAGAGGTCAAGGAGAATTAACGGACAAATTTCCCCTGTCTCTCTCCTGACAGGTCATCATACAATGTAACCAAAGCAGTTTCTGTGCCAAAAATGGGCCTTCTGTGTCTTCTGATTTGCGATGGCAGGGGGGTAATGTGCTCTAGCTTCAACCCATTTTACTGCCTTCTCTCTAGAATGCTTCTGGGCTCACTTTGGTCCAGAAGCAATAGGAAAGGAAGAGAGATGGGGTAGCTGGAACTGGTGCTTTGCTTTCTAGCATGCCCAGTGAAACCACTGTTTTGTTTTCAAAAGAAAATGAAGGGGAGCAGGGACTCACTGCAACCTGGTAAGCATGGGGGGAATAGTTGGGAGCACTGAGGAGTTATCTGTTTTAATTTGTGAAGGTAGTGATGTGTGATGCTTGGATATATTTGTGTAGAGTTTTTGATTTTGGGAAAGGCAGGATTTTGCCTGAGTAGGGTCTTTTGGGGAGAAAGTAGTAGGAATGTGTGTATGACAATTCCCCAGATTTGAAAATATGCCCACCCAAAAAGATTGTCAGACTTTGCTGTACTCTTCCATATCTAAAGTGTTGTGCACCATGCATGTATATCAGCATGTACGACAATCACACACACCTGTATTCATTGATCTGTGTATAATAATATTTAAGGCTACATCCCATTTCTTCCAAAGACATGTTTTCCTTGTAGAAATGTCATATTAGAAGGTATACTTAAAGACACCAGGAACTTTTGTATCCCTGACATTTATAAGCCGTGCTGGGAGCCTTTTTTGGCTGAAGAGTAGTATAAAAACGACTTAAATGGAAAAAAAATAGTAGCTGGAGGAATAGAAACCATTCAAGTTGTGGAGGAGAGTGGTAGAAGGGAGGCCCTCACTCTGGTTCTATCTGCTTTCTTAGTGTGTGTTGAGCGGAAGGAACAATTTTGCACATGTCCAGAGGAACTGGACATGTTGTTGTTAGTTTATGTGTGCCAGTGCAAAGCCCAAGCCCTAATCCTGGTTAGACCTGGCTTTAAGGAAGCCTGCCTTAACCTCAGGCTTTAAGCTTTACTTCTTTAACCAAATTGATATACTGCTTCATTTTAAGTAGAACCTCTAAGCAGTTTACAAAAAAATCTAGCTCTTGGCCACTTCTTATGGCATCTTGCACTGAATTATCTTGCTGCGGTTTAAGACAAGACTGCCCAGGCAGGTAGCCCGCAAACCCTCCCTGTCTCCTTCAGTTCAGTATTTCGGCATTGGGCCATACACAGCTGAACTAAACCTGGACCAGGGATGGCAACTTGAAAAAATATGGGGGGGGGCTATAAGCCCCGCCCTGCGTAATTTATCACATGACATGGCACACCCACACCATTTGGATGGGAATGGCAATTTATTTTAGAGGGGGGGCAGTGCCCTCAAATATTTTTGGGGTGTGTGTGCAAAGGGCCCTTGGCCCCTAGGAGTTGGCTCCTATGACCTAGACCAAGTGTTAGTAGGATTGAGTGTGGGGAGAGCATTTCCAAGAAGGTTCAAGATTTATCTTGCCAGATTGTCAAAGCTGTTGTAGAACCCATGCTAGTTCTGCTTCGGTAAGGCTTGTTCTTCTATATGCTTGGTTATTTCTTCTTTAGCAGTACTTTCCACTAGTTTTCAGGGGACAGAAATTAAGGTAACTGACCTGTAATTTCCAGGATCCTTCAGAATGGCTCCTGACATCCAAAGAGCAACAATAACTGCCCCCTCCAACTTGTACCAAGTACGATGATCATCCCTTGAGAAGATGCCAAATTTATGTTAAAAAATGTTTAACATCATGCCAAAGTCATGTTTTGGTTTTGATTCGAATGGTGCCTGGCTCCTAATTTTTTTATATAGATCTCCATTTCCACCTCAGAAACCTTTGAGCCTAGTCTGCTATTTTGATTCACAGTGGTGCCCAGTGTCCAAATGGTGATGAAGTCTACTGCCCCAACTGAGGAATGCTCGGGCCATCTTTGGTGATGACATCGTGAGAGGCAGCCAAACCTATGCCTAAAAATGGGTGATGCCATGCCAAAGCAGAACCTATAGAGAACAAACAGATGAATGGACAAACTACTTTCCAAAATATGCAATCTGGAGGCACCCACAAAATGAAAAGAATCAAAGACATAAACTAACCAAATAAATACAAGCATTAAAACTTGTATTTATATACCTCTTTGCAGCAAGGATGTGGAATCTTTTTTTTAGCCTGAGGTCCGCATCCCATTCCCTTCTGGACAATTTTCTAGGGGTCACATGCCAGCAGAGGACAAGGCCAGTGGCTAAAGTGGGCTAAGAAACAGGTGTGAATTTCATCTTTGTGCAGTAGGCTAATGTCTACACATACTATCCTCCATCTAGGCAAGCATTGTCAGAGTTTGAGGTTATGTTCCATGCAAGCAAAAACACTCGAGGATGCAAAGCAGGGCCAATAGAAATGGGATGTGACTGGTGAAGAAGTATGGCCTGGGAGAGAATCCCCAGGGTCAGATAGAGAGCCCTGGGGGGCTGCATTTGGTGCCCAGGGCTGAAGTTCCTCATCCCTGCCTTAGAGTGTTTGGAACTCTTCAAGATGCATGGGCCTGGTTTAGACATTACAGTAAACTATAGTTTAGCACTAAACAAATGAGTCTGGGTGAAACTTGGGCTCACATACTATGGCCTCCCTTCTGATGCAGTTGTGAAGAGGGGCTTGGAAGCATCCACTTTACTGTTTTAAATTAACTGCAGTTTGTCATTTTGCCCAATGTGAGCTACGTAACTATGGTTAGTTTCAATTACAATTGGTTGAAACAAGCCAGGATCAGAAACCATGCTTTGATCTTGACTTGTTTCTATAAACAAATGTTTATACTAACCACAGCTTGGCTCAGTGCAGTTGTGATGATAAACTATGGTTAATTTAAAGCAGCAAGTGGATGTATCCAATCACCTCATCGTGCTTTCAGAGGGGAGGGGGCGCACATGAGCTTGAGGTTTGTCCAGTGTTGTTTGTGTAGCACTCTACTGTGGTTTAGCACTATCTTTGAATTAGGCCATAATCTCAGTCATTCTTAGAACAGTCCTGTAAGGTCAGTACCTGGCAGCTGAAGTACAACTGTGGGAGAGCTGATTCTGAGAGACAGTAATTTACTTTAATCTGTCTGGTGTATTTATAGCTGAGGTGAGATTTGAACTAGGGATTTCCTGGCTCACAGATTACACTAAAATACACGAGCTCTACTTAGTACATGCCATGGCTAATACACAAACCCAGTAAATTTATAACTAAAGCTATTCAGTATATAGAACCTATGAGCTGACCAGAGGTATAAATGCTTAACCATAATCACATACATTCAGAAGCAGAGGAGGATGGGGCACTGTGCCCTGCCTTAGTAACTTTATTCAGATTCAAAATGTATCTTTTAAAAGTGGTGAGCTAAGTACAACCTAGCTGGCCAATTAACCATTACTAAAATGCCTAAAAAGTCATTTAGTATATCCAAAGCTACACGGAGCAGATTTTGAGTGTGCACAGAGAGTAGTATTTAAAATATGGGAACTAAAGAAAAGCTACAGAAAAAAAACAGCATAACAATCATGAGCAGCAACAAATAAAGCACTATGAAAGAAGCTTGTCAGAATGAAAATGCTATTGCAATCTTCCTAAATGACCCTGTTCCTTGTCGCCACTAAGATCCTTTAAAATATGTGTAAGGAACCTTGGACTGCCCAGAGGTTGCTGCTCATTGACCATGCTTGATAGGACTGGTGGGAGTTGTTCAGCAACATCTGGAGAGACGTTCCCCTTAATTTTTTTTTTTTAATAATTTTTATTAAGGTTTTAGACAACAAAGAAAGAAAAAAAACCATACACAATACATATAACAACATCACACACAAGAAGCAACACAAAATTCAACAATAAAGAAAAACAAAAAACATAACAATTAAAAACAATATCTCTTTTCCATTTCCATTTTTAAATCACTTATTTTCTGGACTTCCTCATACCTCCCTCTTTTGTATTCCAATCCAAATTATTTGTCCAGCAGTTTCTTTTCCACTTTTTTAATCCCAATCTTTAGTTTAATGAAATATCAAAATCTATAACTTCATATAGCGTTAAAATTTTCCCTCTTAATATCAAATTTCCATTTCTTTAAACATCTTTAATCTTAATCTTTAATCTTAGTCTATCATTAACTTTAACCTGTACAGCTGGAAACCACTTATTTTCAATCCAACATCACTCTAACATTCCTTAATTTTGCAGTGTTTCTGAAGATAGTCTTTGAATTTCTTCCAATCTTCCTCCATCGACTCTTCTCCCTGGTCACGGATTCTACCAGTCATTTCCGCCAATTCCATATAGTCCATAAGTTTCATCTGCCATTCCTCCAGCGTGGGAAGTTCTTGTGTCTTCCAATACTTTGCGATGAGTATTCTTGCTGCTGTTGTTGCATACATAAAGAAAGTTCTATCCTATTTTACCACCATATGGCCGACTATGCCCAGGAGGAAGGCCTCTGGTTTCTTAGGGAAGGTATACTTAAATACCTTTTTAATTCATTATATATCATTTCCCAGAAAGCCTTAATCTTTGGGCACGTCCACCAAAGGTGAAAAAATGTACCTTCAGTTTCTTTACATTTCCAACATTTATTATCGGGCAAATGATAGATTTTCGCAAGCTTGACTGGGGTTATGTACCACCTGTATATCATTTTCATAATATTCTCTCTTAAGGCATTACATGCCGTGAATTTCATACCTGTGGTCCATAACTGTTCCCAGTCAGCAAACATAATGTTATGTCCAACGTCCTGTGCCCATTTAATCATAGCCGATTTTACCGTTTCATCCTGAGTATTCCATTTCAGCAGCAAGTTGTACATTCTTGACAGATTCTTAGTTTTGGGTTCTAACAATTCTATTTCCAATTTGGATCTTTCCACCTGGAAGCCAATTTTCCTGTCCAATTTAAATGCCTCCATTATCTGATAATAATGAAGCCAGTCTCGCACTTTGTCTTTTAGTTTTTCAAAACTCTGCAATTTCAGTCTATCTCCGTCTTGTTCCAAAATTTCCCAATATTTCGGCCATTTGACCTCCATATTGACCTTTTCAAGGCTTTCGCTTCCATTGGTGACAGCCACCTTGGGGTTTTGTTTTCTAACAAATCCTTATATCTTAACCAAACATTAAATAGCGCTCTCCTGACAATGTGGTTTCTAAATGCTTTATGTGCTTTGACCTTATCATACCATAGATATGCATGCCATCCAAATACATTATTAAAACCTTCCAAGTCCAAGAAGTAGCCATTCTTTCAACCAGCAAAAGGCTGCTGATTCATAGTAAAGTTTGAGGTCTGGCAGGACAAATCCACCTCTTTCCTTTGCATCTGTTAGTATTTTAAATTTTATTCTAGGCTTCTTGCCCTGCCAGACAAATTTAGAAATATCTTTCTGCCACCTCTTGAAACAATCCATTTTGTCCACGATCTGCAAAGTTTGGAACAAAAACAACATTCTAGGCAATACATTCATTTTTATCGCAGCAATACGGCCCAGCAGTGAAAGCTTCAAATTTGACCATATTTCTGAATCTTTTTTCACTTCAGACCAGCATTTTTCATAGTTATCTTTAAATAAGTTCCCATTTTTTGCTGTCATGTTGATCCCCAAATATTTAACTTTCTTAACCACTGTTAAACCTGTCGAGAGACGTTCCCCTTAAAACAAAGGTGGGATTCAGAGCAAGGACTCCTTTCATGACATCTGTGTATGGATTGAAGACATTTCCTGAGAGACCCTGGAACTAGAGCGTTTAGGGATTCAGAGGTCAACCCAGCTCTTTTAATTGTGTTGAGAACAGATGAGCAGCCAGTGGAGATTTTTTGACACTAGTGTTCCGTTTGAGTCACTTCTGCTCGTAATTGAACTGCTCTGTTCTGAATTAGTCAAATACAGAGTGTGTTAGAGTAGTCCCACATAGAGGTTTACCAGAACTTGTTTCCCAGTATCCCTGGTTGGGCTTCCATGGCTAGGAAACGTACACTTCCAGAGGACCAGGGGAAGAGGAGGAATGGAAGGTAGAAGCACAAAAATCGTTTTGTTTACAGTGAGGGGGGGAAAGTATTTGATCCCCTGCTAAAACTGCCTGTTTGCCCTCTGATGAAGAAATGACCAGTCCATATTTTTAATGGTAGGTTTATTGTAGCTGGGAGAGACAGAATAACAACAGGAAACCCCCCAGAAACCCAGAAGACAAAAGTCAGAGATTGATATGCATTATAATGAGTGAAATAAGTATTTGATTTCCTATCAACCAGCCAGATGTCAGGCTACCTGGTATCTTCACTGTATGTAACAAGCTGAGATTAGAAGCACCTGCTGTAAGGGAGAGGTCTTACCTGTAATCCCAGCTCGTTACAGTACCTGTACAAAAGACACCTGTTGACAGAAGCAATCAATCTAGCAGATTCCAAAGTAGCCAAAGTCCAAAGAGCTGTCCAAGGATGTCAGGGACAAGATTGTAGACCTGCACAAGGCTGGACTGGGCTACAAGACTATTGCCAAGCAGCTTGGTGAGAAGGTGACAACAGTTGGTGCAACAATTCACAAATGGAAGAAACACTAAATAACTGTCAACCTCCCTTGGTTTGGGGCTCCATGCAAGATCTCATCTTGTGGAGTTACAATGAGAACGGTGAGAATGGTGATGAAGCAGCCCAGAACTACACAGGGGGAACTTGTCAATGATCTTAGGGCAGCTGGGACCATAGTCACCATGAAAACAGTTGGTAACACATTACGCCATGAAGGACTGAGATCTTGCAGAGCCATCAAGGTCCCCTTGCTCAAGACAGCACAGGTACAGGCCCATCTTCAGTTTGCCAATGCACATCTGAATGACCCGGAGGAGAACTGGGTGAAAGCGTTGTGGCCAGATGAGACCAAAATCGAGCTCTTTGGCATCAACTCAACTCGCCGTGTTTGGAGGAGGAGGAATGCTGCCTACGACCCCAAGAACACCACCCCCACTGTCAAACATGGAGGGGGACATATTATGGTTTGGGGTGTTTTTCTGCTAAGGGGGCATGACACCTTCACCGCATTGAAGCGACGATGGACGGGACCATGTATCGTCCAATGGAGGTGAGCACCTCCTTCCCTCAGCCAGGGCATTGAAAATGGGTCGAGGATGGGTATTCCAGCATGACAGTGACCCAAAACACACTGCCAAGGCAACAAAGGAGTGGCTCAAGAAGAAGCACATTAAGGTCCTGGAGTGGCCTAGCCAGTCTCCAGACCTTAATCCCATCAAAAATCTGTGGAGGGAGCTGAAGGTTTGATAAGCTACACATCAGCCTTGAAATCTTACTGACTTGGCGAGGATCTGCAAAGAGGAGTGAGACAAAATACCTCCTGAGATATGTGCAAACCTGGTGGCCACCTACAAGAAATGTCTGACCTCTGTAATTGCCAACAATAAGAAATACTTATTTCACTCATTATAATGCACATCAATCTCTGACTTTTGTCTTCTGGGTTTCTGGGGTTTTTCGTGTTGTTATTCTGTCTCTCACAGCTACAATAAACCTACCATTAAAATTATGGACTGGTCATTCCTTCGTCAGGGGGCAAATGGGCAAATTTAGCAGGGGATCAAATACTTTCCCCCCTCACTGTAAGTAGCACGAAGGTTGTGACACACATGAACAAAGGACTGAAATTCTAAAGCATAGACTGCCATCGTCTTGTCTTTTCCCCAGGTTCCAAGTGGAGGATACAGTGTCAGCTTTACCTTTGGATTTCTCTGGCTTCTTTCATCTTATGTCATAATCTTAACAATTATTAATGTGCGGGTGGGGGATTTTTTTTGGGGGGGCCCTGCATGGCTTCTTGTATAAGAATATTAGCACTGAAAGCTGAATGCATTCTTTCTGTCGGTGGTTTATTGAACTTGCACAACCATATATTTTGCAGTGTATAATTTGGCATCTTCAGGATCCTGTTTTTCTGTTTCTTTCTTTTGAAGAAAGTTTTAACTCTTACTGCTGAACAAGATGAAAATTGAAATTGTGCTAGTGCCTGCTGAAGGCTAAGATACTAGGAGGAAGTTGTTTAGTACTTCTGGTAGTGATATAACTTCCTAGCTTGGCCTAATGTGCACTTCAGGCAGGAATGAAAAATCTATCACTTATTTGCCCTCAGTTGCCTTCAATTGTGCATAGACTTTTTCAGTGAATAACATTCCTACTTCAGATATATCCACCTATGTATAAATTTTATAAATTTATATGCCACTCTTCGGCATAAAACTGCCAGGGCAGTGAACATTCAATTAAAAAATTATAATAAAAAAGCAAAACAGCAGAGACAAAGGAGGAACCTAACTAGTCACATCAGCAGCAACCTAAGCAAGGACTTCTGTTTGAGTAATGAGGATTTATTCCCTCTGTGTGAGACCCTAGCTGGCACCCACTGTAATTGGCTCAGGGGTGGGTGGGAGAACCCCCAGAACAGCACATAGAGAGAGGAGAGGGGAGATAATAATTTCTGGCAAGCAAGAATGCTTGCACAGATGGAACAACTGGAATAATGTTGAATTCCACCCATTAACAGCAGCTCATAAAACAATAAAATCAAGCAGGCGTAAACCTTAAAACTAAAATGACTTGCAAAATACAATGAAATGCCTGGACAGGGCAAGCTTCCGAGGTGAGCTTCACTTTGTAGGGTGTTTAAAACTTGGGATGACATGGCCAACAGGGACTCCTCTCTTACCACTAATTTCAGGATGGCAAAGGAGACCTGGCGGAAGGACTCAAATGAAGAATTGCAGGTAGGCTTGTGAGGAATATGGCAGTCCTTCAAGTATCCTGTATCTTATATCACACTTTCA